CAGTTCACGAGCTTTCGATTGATGGCTGAACGTAGTTTCCAACGCAAGCCAAACATCACGTGCAGTAGGGAGACCAACGACAACAGCCATGGCTTCCTCAGTGAGAGAGGAGAGCAGGAGACAGAGAAGTCGTTGATCGGCTGCTCTCCATGCCAAATATTTGGGGTTGAGTGTTGAAGAGGTTTCTGGTTCAAAGCGAGGTGGTGGAACCATAGTTCCATCGACATAGCCCAGCATGTCTTGACTCTCAAGGAGAGGGAGAAGCTGGCTTTTCCAAAGAAGATAATTGGAGGAAGAAAGTTTGATGGTGATCATATGGATTAGAGTATTGAAGGGAAGAAGATGATAAGAAGATTCGGAAGCCATAGAGAAGAAAGGATCAGGGTTGTTAAACCGAAAGGGCTCTGATACCATGTGAATGTTTGCTGAATCCACCACACCTCAATGGGGGTGAGAGTTCTCTTATTTATAATTATTTTCAGAATACAGAAATATGGTAAATTACAAATATTATGGAAATAGTAATAAAAGGAAAGAATAATAAATGAATGCAATATATTTGCCTTTAATAAGAGGGCAAATATGGTAACCCGTAATGTAAGGCAAATATCTAGATATTTGCCTTATAGTGACGGTCAACTATCCTTAACACCTCTATTGAAACTGGTGATGGTCCCCAAACGTTTGTATGGACCATTTCCAATTGCACTTTCTTCAATTATCTGATAATCTTTGTGAAGCTAATAACTCATTTCTGTTTGCTCATAACGCAGTTCTCACAAGAACTCATATCAACAGATTCCAGACCTTCCAAAACTCCTTTCGTAGCCAGCATCTTCATTCCTTTAACGCTCATATGTCCAAGTCTATTGTGCCATAGACTTGAATTTGAAGAACTCTCAGCAACAATAGCCATGTTCATACACCCTACGGTGGTGTATAAGATTTCAGATTTTGTGTCACGTGCTACCACCAAAGCACACTTCACAATCTTCCACGAACTCTTTTCCTTGAGACCAAGAATATATCTGACATCCTTTAATATCCACTTATTTTCTGTCGAAATTTTTTTATGCAGACATCCCCTTTTCCTTCAATCTCCAAATTTTTGTTGTTGACAAGATACACCTCGAAACTTTCAGACTTGAAATTTCAAAACTCTTTGTTTGAAGATGAATGAAAAGATGCACTTGAATCCAAAATCTAAGATTCAATCAGACTATCCACTCTGAAGATTAGAGCATCCCCAATGTCTTCAGGGAAATTTCTAGAATCATCATCTTCTGATTTGTGATTCTGTTTTTTTCTTTGATCTCGTACAATATGTCCGAAAGTGACCTTTTTCTCCACAGCTTCAACACGTTACATTTGATCTGTTTGGAGAATTTTTACGGTTCTTTGATTTTGATCGACCTTTGTTTGAGCCCTTTGATTTACTTCTTCCCCTTTGGTTGATACTGAGAACACTATCAGATGAATCTCCAGTTTCTTGTTTGCGAATTATTTCGCTGAGAACTACATCTCGGATTTCATCGAACTTCAGTTTCTCAAATCATCGAGAACTGCTGATCGTGACAACAACGGTATCCCACGACTCGAGTAAAGATACATCAAAATCAATGTTTTAATTTTATCTTCGAAATTAATGTCCACCAAACTCAATTGACTTACAATCATATTGAATTCATTTATACGACTAGCAACAGATCCACCTTCAGACATTCGTAGATTAAACAATCTCCGCATCAAATATACCTTGTTCATAGTCGACGATTTTTCATACATGTTCGACAGCACCTTCAACAGATCTGACGTTGTCCTCCTTGATGATGTTGAACGCCATGTTTCTGGACAATGTCAACCGGATCAACCCTAAGACCTGTCGATCTTTGAGCTTCCACTGCTCCGTGGTAATGGTATCCGACTTCACCCCAATAGGGGTTCGTGAAGATCTTTTTGATATAGATAATCTTCAATTTGCATCTTCCAGAAACTAAAATCGGATTCATCAAACTTCTCAATTACAATCTTTGAACTTTTCATCTTCACAGATTAGGATGAATATCGGCTAGCTCTGATACTAGTAGTTAGGACCGCACAACAACACACACTTGATCATGAACACAAACACACTTATCATGAACACAAAAGTAGGGGAGAGAAAAATATAACAGAATACAAAATAGAATAAGAGTACTTTTAATCAGATAATACTTTTTTTTAAGACGGTTTCAATTTACTAAATATAATTTTAGCAGATTCTAGCACCTACTAAATATAATATACCAATCTTTAGAAATATTTACCGTATATATCTATTTTTTACTATAAATACTCATCATGATCGGAACAAGCATATTACAGCACAAATGCATCCCAAAAGTCAGAACTGGAAAATAACAGTTTCATATCTGAAATCATAGAAAGTTTACTAATGTACCTCTGTTTTGCGTTCTTAAAGAACCTCATCTCATATTCTATCGCAAGGTTAGCAATTCTTTCCGAACTCATGCCATTAGGATAACGAGAAGACACTCGTTCCTTCAACATCGCGTATCTGCAAGACCATACTGTTTTCAATAAAATTCACATATGCTTTGTTATTAAAAAAAACCAATAGAATATGAGACGGCAAAGAGAAACTCAAGCAATGCCTTAAATTTTCAAGTCAACAATGGAATCAGAAAAGGCAGCTAGTTCCGTTCAGCAAACCAATAAATGCAGCTATTTAAGCACAGTAATCAACATCAATCAGCAACAACTGAATTAAATTCAACTAATCTGTACATTATTGCACGAAGCCAATACAAATTCTCCGTCAGTCTCCTAAATCAATCTCGAACGCAAACGATAAACAAATCCGAACAGTTTATGATCAATAAAGTCTTGGAGAGATTACATTGAACGTACAGCTTCCTGTCTAGTCGCATTCTCGATTTCCGCCTTCCAATCCGTCGCAGTAGCCAGGCTACGTTTCTTCTTCATTACACAAAATTAAAAAAAAGCTACAAAAACAGAGCAAAAACAACACAGAAAACTAAGGAAGAACCTTCGACACAATCCGATCACTTCCGATGGAGTTCCAATAACGGAAGAATCAATTGCGAGTGAAATTCCATAGAAAGGAGACGGAAAGAGAGTTGAAACACACACCTGAAGCAGTTCCTTCTTTACTTTCGAAGCAGAATTTCAGGAAATTTCACAAGAATCCAGGGAAGGGAAGATTCTAGTACGAAATTGGCGGGAGCGCCTTTTGGGGCAGAACGAGATCGCAAATAAGGAAGGACGTGATCCTTTGGGATCGCCTAGGGAATATGGTGCATGCTTAAACAAGGAAAGCCTCGGGTGTGGGGCCCGCTCTCTTTTTTATTCATTTATAAAATTAAATTTGTAAGTAAAAATTGAGAATTATATTAAAAATAAATCTCACATAACATTTAAATTATAAATCTCTTAATTTAAAATTCTAAAAAAGATATCCTTTAATATATATATATATATATATAAGTTTGTTAATTTAGTTAATAGTTATTTATTAATAAAATTAATGTTATATTAATATTCTGATGTAATTTTATTTGCATTAGTTATTATTGGTTAATATTAAAAATAATGTTTTTCTATAATAAAATAAATTTAAATAATTTAGGATAATTTGAATTAAATAAATAAAATCCAGGAGGGAAGAACACAAATTAATGTAATTTTTATATAATTTAAAATAATAAAATTGTATCTATAGAATTTAAACAATAATTTAATGAAATAAAAAATGTAAAATTACAAAGAAATTAAAGTTTGAGGGTCAAATCAAGGCCGTGGATATTGTACTGATCGGCTCCAAAAATCTGTGAAGAAGAAGAAGTGGCGTTTCTACTCGCCATGGCTATGGATTCCAATTCAGTTGTCGCCAAATTCTCTCTTCCGCCATTGTTGGCGGCTTGCCATAAACCTCCAAAATGTAACTGCTGCGCCGCCGCCATGTATTGTTCTCTAGGCCACCACCGGCATCCATGGGCGACGGCTTGGGGCCGAGTCGGTTTACGAATCGGCGGCCGAATCGGAAACCCTAGGGCTTTGTTTCGCAGAGCGTGAATCGCCATTGCCGAATAATACGGATGGTAAAAAGATCCAATGGAATCGAACGCGCCCGTAGTAGTTGCGGCGGCGGCGGCGGCGGTGGTGGTTCTGAAGCTCATTGCGGCGGCGGCAGCGGCGACGGCTTTCTCTCTTTTGGCAATGTCTCTTTCTCGTTTATGGGCGTTTTGATGTCCTCCCAAAGCCTGCAGATTTGAGAATTTTCTACTGCAGAATTTGCAGTAAAAAACCCGGGTTTCTCTCTTCGTCCTTGTCTCCGTCCCCATAGCGGTCCCGGCTTCTTCAAAGCCGGGTTCCGCTTTCAAAACCTTGAAAGAATGTTTCAAGTTAAGTTCCACCTCAGAACCTTCGCACTCGCCCGAACAAGCCATGGCCGTAAAAGTTAAAAGAAGAGATAGTTTTGGAGTGGCCTGAGTATGAACTGTTACGGTGTATTTATAGAGGGGAACTAAATTGGGATATTAATAAAGGTATCTATTTTGGTAGATTAATTTTGACTTTTAAGTACAAATCCAATTAATGGAAAGTAAGTCATAATAATAATAATAATAATATAAAAAAACAATTTTAATTATTAATACACAAATTAACCTAGATAAATAATTTCTCCAAAATTTTATAATTTCTTATTGTATTTATATATATTTTATAATTTTAAATCTAAAATTTCTATACATGTATAGCCCGTAACTAAAACACATAACTTTTTATAATTAATTTTTTTTTCAACGTCTCAGTTAGAGTTGAGGTTATGGCGATAGAATGACGATTGTTTATGTACAAGTCACGAGATCACCGTAGAGTTCTATGTTTTACTTTGGGTGTGAATGATTCTGTATTTTTAAATACATATTTCGTTTTAAAATTAATAAAAAAATAAATGATATTTATAATTGATACGCGTAAAAGTTGGATTATTTATATGAAAAAATAGTTAATTTCTAGAGATCAGATAAAAAAAAATGGTTAAAATTGAAGGGATATGGTAATTAAATGGTTAATGGACATTAGAGTTGGAAAGTAAATAAGGAAAGTACAAAAAAGAGAGGTAAATATGGTAACTACAAATTAGAGAGAGATTTTGCTTTCTATTCGTTTTAATAATAAAGGGAATATAGTTTATTAAAACTATCCTTTCATTATTCATCATTATCTCTCGATTATTGTTAGAAGATAATGCAGTTATTTTTTCAATTTAAAAAAAATGTAAATTATCTGTCACCATAGAAATTCCACATCGATTAGAGAAGAGAACTAGTGCCAGCAAGATGGTTGGATGCTGAAAGAGCGGACTGTGAAATCCCGCAATAAAACATTTTTTTACAAAGATGTACAACTCTCTCTACGCGTTTTAAAAACTTTGAGGGAAGTCCAAAAAAGAAAGTCCAACGAGAACAGTATCGGCTCGCAATGGACTTGGACTGCTACACATGGTCACACCGTCTAAATCACAATCACACCCATCTTAATTTTTATCGAACAGTTTAACTAATTTTACTCAATAAGTAGCTTCGAATTCGATTTAAAAAAAAACAATTGTTTTAGAATATTCTACTTAAAATTTAAAAATTAAAAATAAATGAGATATTAATAAATTTTAAAGATGTAATTTAGATAAGAAACTAAAAATTTGGAGGGGTAATTATTATATACATTTATAATTTAAGTTAATTACTTAAATAGACAATATTCATTTTATTAACCCAACTCATTCTCTCGTAAAAAAATTACTCCAAAAATAATTTTTTTCCCTATTTTAGAATTTTATTTTCCGTACAACCAGGGAGGAGGTGAAAGGAGGAAGAATGGGAGGGCGGTGGGCTTAAAATTATGAATTATATTTCAAAATATGATTTTATTACCAAAAAAAAAAAAGGGAGAAAAAAAAAAAAAACAAAATGACCTGTAATTATGTTTTATTGTGTTCGGGTGAATTTGATTGGATAAGATTTTCATTTGAATTGGATTATATCTTTTAAGAAACTGACCTGATTTTCGAGTCTAAATAAAAAAAATAGATTCAACCAAACGAAATTAGTTTTTTAATTATATTTGTGAAGGCTTCCTTTCTCTTCAATTTATCTGTCTTCTCCCCGACTCAGTATTCCTTATCTTTTTTTTTTTAATTAGATTAGTCCGACTTGTTTCATTAAGCTCCATAATATTATATTATATTATTTTACGATAACTCTCTTAACCCATTTCTCCTTTAATGATTTCAACTTCGCTATATTTGTCTCTCGTACTTCTCTAAAACTCTCACTCTCCAATCTCGCTAACCATGATGCACATCGTATATGATCACTCCATTTACGTGGTACACGATCACTTATTAATGTTATGAATTAACCAGTGTATTTATATTTTAAATTAAAATCGCGATTTTTTTTTTTTTTTTTTTTTTTTGATGAATTTATCATTCATTAAATCCGTTATTTAGAAGTTAGTTGTGAATTTGTGTTTTGAGTTCATTTTAATTTTATATAATATGTTATACGTTAATAGATAAAAATTAATATCTTAAATAATCCTGAATTAAAAAAAAAAAAAAAAAAGCATTGACGTTCAACTAACCGGGTTCATCACGATAAACGAGGGTGAGTTGGTCCAAAAAAACTCTCCCGACCCAACTCGTGGAAACCGATCAAAATGTAAATTATAAAAAAAAAAAACGAGCGAATTCGATTCTCTCTTCATAATTTGTTTGAGTTGTGTTACTTAGTGATTTGGGAATTTGGATCACAATTTTTTTTCGTTCTTCTTCCTCTACTGGTAAATTCTCTGCCTTTGTACCCATAATTTATAGGAGAGTTTTTAGTTGGAGCAATTTGGATCACACAGAGTCGGATATTTTGATGTATTTTAAGTTTTCTTCTCGTTCGTGGAGTGAATTTTACTTCAATTTTGGGGATTTGATCTGATTGCTTGATCTGCAGCGTTGTTGCTGGTTGCGTAATTGCAAGCGGAAGTTGCGATGGAAATAGACCACGCCGAGCTTAGCACTGAGCAGGTTGGTGATTGGATCTTCTTATTGTTTGTTTTCCTTCTTAGATTTGATTCTGAGGTGTTTTTATATGGTCATTAGTAGTACTCTAAAGAACTTGATTTCTTCGATGGGGCAAAATGTTATTGATTATCGAGTAATTTGTACTGTTTGTCAGTTTGGTGGTGTGAGTGTAACTACATCCATGGTGATTGAATGTTGCGTGTTTGAGCAGTTAGGTTAATGATCCAGCAATGGCTCATTTACTTGTTAGTTATGGGTTATAGGTAATTGCAAGTTCTTCTAGGATCTAAAATTGCAATTCATCTGAACATCTCAATGCCATTCATTAGAAAATATAACTCGATGGAGAAATTGAAGGGAGCAAAAACGAGCTGTTTGTCTTGAGAGATTCATTTTCTTAGCAATCGCAAGTTTAATTCTACTATTTTTTAAAGCATTGTCATTTTCATTGGGTGATCCAATACGTGATCTGGAACTTACTTGGATGAAGTTACTTAAAAATTCTGAGGTCTTGAGGTGCCCTTAGAGAGATCCTTGTAATAGATTTTTTTTTTTCTTGGAATTGATAATGGATGCTATCATTAACATTTTTTCTAATTGTGGAAGGTTCTTACAAGGGACATTCCATGGGAGACATACATGACTACGAAACTTATCAGTGGAACAAGCCTTCAGCTGTTAAGGCGTTATGATAACAGGCCAGAGAGTTACAGGGCACAGTTGTTGGATGATGTAAATTTTCCCATATATGTCTGATTTGTTTTCATTATTTAATTCATCTACTTACTACTTTTTGGGCATGATTATTGTGATGGAAATCTTGTTTGTCCACCCTATGTTGAGAAAATAGCAAATTAGGAACTATTTTCTTTACATTATCTCATAATACTCAAAGTGCAGTTGGATTTTGCAGGATGGTCCAGCATATGTTCGGTTATTTGTTAGCATTTTACGTGATATATTTAAGGAAGAAACAGTGGAATATGTTCTAGCATTAATCGACGAAATGCTGACAGGTAACTTCATATGAATAGAACTTTATGATTCCGTTTGGAAGTCTAAAAGAGTTTTAAAAGATCAAGAACTATATTTTCTATTTTTCTCGAGATATACATGGGGCTTTTCTTAGAAGTTCATAAAAAAGGTTCTTTTCTGAAAAGTATGTCATATTTGTAAGGTAACAAATAGAATAATCCAATTATATTAGGAGAGGCTGGGATAAGAGTGGTTTGGTTGAAGTTTGCAAGCCTTTGTAATGGTTTGAGTAATTTATTAGGGAATTGGTTAAAAATTAGTTGATGTACTAAAACAAGTGGTAGCTCTGATTTTTGAGACTCTTGTCTTGCTTGGATTATTATTTTTTAGAAGGCGACTAAAAGATGTTGAGGTTATTGATTTCAATTGTTTGCTGGAAGCTTTATCAGTTGCTAAAGTTGGAAGTTTTGAAGAGGCCTAGGGGTCATTTTCTATCAAATCTCTTTTTAGTAAGTTGAATGCTTCATCTCAGGCAAAGGGTTCGTTCTCTGCTTTGTGGAAATCAAAAAGTCCAAAAAGAATTAACGTTCTTTCTTGGATATTGCTGAATAGTAGTCTAAAGACAGTTGACTTGCTTCAACGAAAGTCTCCCTCATGTCTCCAACCTTCCATTTGTTGTCTTTGTTTTGAAGCAGGGGAATTTCTTAACCATTTATTCTTGGAAAACCCTTTTCATATTAGTCAAAAAGTAATGTTCTTCAGTTTTTATTGGGTCTTTCTTTACCATTGCATTCTCACCTGCTTGGGGTCAATGTAGTAAAAGCATTGATTGGAAAAAAATTAGAGAACTTTTGAAGGTAGACATCATTCTTAGTTAGGTTGGCTTGTGCCAACTCATCTGAAAGTTCCTCTTTGGTTTTCCCTCTCCCGCTCTTTTGATGGTTTTTCTTTATAGGAAACTAATCTAAATTGGAATTTTTTATTTATCCGTTGAACTCTCTTTTCCATATATTTCTCTCATTTTGGAACTTGTTTCATTTCTTCAATGAAAAGTTTCATTTTCTTGTTTAATATGCAATTTTGTATATTTTTATACTAGTTTTACCTTCGAAGTCTAAATAATTTGTTCAAAACTCAGTCTGTATATATATTACAAGCATCTATCATGTTACTGTTTCGTAGTTGATAATAAATACTTCCATTTTAAGATCTCTTAATACCAGTCTCTTCTTAACATGTTTCTCCAACTATGGGAGGCTCAAATATTTATCAATAGAAGTCTTAACTAAAGTGTCTATGGATAAATAATTTCAGTTAAAGCGAAGAAAAACATTAAAAGCCCACTGATATATGTATGTGGTAAATGCTTTGGCAGCAAACCCAAAAAGAGCAAGATTGTTCCATGATCCTTCTCTTGCAAGCGAAGATGCTTATGAACCTTTCCTAAGGTATGTATGTGATTCAAGCATGGGTTTATGCAGAATTGTTTAAATTAGTTATACATTTCATTAATTTATATGATCCTGATATTCTGATTTATCTTTTTCGTGTTGTTTTGTTTTTTTTTTTTCTGAACTTCTCTGTAATGTGTATAATCTTTTGCGTACAAGTTACATTGTTTCTTGACCAAATAGAGTTTAATTCTTCCCTTAGGTATATAGTTACATAATTTCCAAATGGTTGAACCTCAACCAAGCTTTGTAACCTATATATAAGACATAATTTACATCCACTCATTTTAGTGTTCAACGATAATGGGGTGGGGGGATTATTAGTCAAGAACATACACCCTAACCAGCCCGCTATACATAAGTTGGTTACATCCACTTATTTTAGATCCCCCTTAAATCATCTTAAAGAAGAGTTTTAATCCCGACTGTTTGATGATCAATAATGCACATTGAATGGAAGAAAAGGTCCTTGAAGGAGTTCTGGGGGCAGTTTATTGTGCACTTTTTCCAAATTTTGATAACCTTCCAATGCAAAACAGTCTTCTATTTTTGCTTTGTTTTCAGGATTTTTACTTCACATAATTTATATTTCAGGAGGGTTTCGTTTAAAAAAATAAAATGAAATAAAATAAAAAAACAAAAAAGAGGGAAAAAGTTCTTTGCTTATTTTTTTAAAGAAGTTTGATGAAGTACCTTACAGCAGCAACCATTGGATTTTTTAAGAAATTTATAATTAAACTCCACATCATTACAAATTTATCATTTTTCACACGAAAATTTGATTGAGATAAATTTATACATTAAGGATTATGTGTAATGTTCTAAAAGGGAAAGGAAAAAAAGTTTAAAAGTGGCCTAAATATTGGGGATGGATTTATATATTTAGCAGTATGCTAATTCTTTTTGGAGAAGTATAATACTAAGTAAATTTCTTATGTAATTCAGATTGCTTTGGAAGCGAAATTGGTTCGTACAGGAGAAGAGCTGTAAAATACTTGCTCTGATAGTGAGGTACACTTTTGGAAATATTTTCCACCACAAAATTTCAAGGATTTAGTTGTACGTTTTTTGGCGTGTATACATGTGCATGTATGATTGGTGTAACCATTATGGCTTGACTTAATTTCTTTCTCGTAACTATAGTGCTAGAAAGACAACTCATGATGGCAGTTCTGCAAATGGTGATGTCTCAAATTCCAAGATGAAAATTACTACCATTGATGATGTTTTGGATGGACTTGTGAAATGGCTTTGTGCACAGGTACTTTGCATATGTTCAATATCTTTACCATTCCTTCAATGTAGAGACTAGAGAGCCTGTAACATAAGAAAATACTGGGGACTTTTTCCTCTTTGGTGTGGGCTATCCATTGACTGCATCCAAGATTTTCCTAAGAGATCATAGATGTTATATATCTTATTTTTTCCTTCATATTCTTTTTTAATGGATATCTATATGATGTGTTCATCGTCAAAATGTTAAAATATTAAAATATATATTTTAATGTGTTGCAAGTATTGGCATCTTGACTTTGTGTTCTCTCAAAATTTCCTGTCCCATTAACACTCGTGATTAATTGGTATGGATGCAAGATTTAATCAGCAAAAGCCATAAAGAAATATGTTATATAAACATAGATACAAACCCATGTACTTAAATATATGTATGTATGCATGCATGTACTTTTTTCCGGTTGATTATTAACTTCGAAATGTAATGAATAAGAGCAGCTGCAGGCCATACACACCCTTTTAGTGACCCATTTATTTTAGCCAATCGAAAATCTATTATTGAGCTCTAGTTTCAATGATGCTGACACAGTAGTCTTAAAATGTTGTGTAGCTGAAGAATCCTTCACATCCTAGTCGTGCTGTATTGACTTCTATCAATTGCCTTTCAACTCTGCTGAAGGAACCAAAGGTCAGATCCTCCTTTGTCCAGGCAGATGGAGTGAAATTGCTTATTCCTTTGATTTCTCCTGCATCGACCCAACAATCTACTCAGGTAATTTGGTCATTTAATTCTTGGCATTTGCACTCGTCTTCTTATTAGTTGGATATTTTCTTTGGATTTCTTATCATATTTATCAGACTCGCATTTTTTAAGTTGTCTCCAGTAATCAATTACTCCATTTAAGTTTGAAAATTGTTATTAGCAAACTTTAACATTGAAACTAACTGTTCTTTTTCTAACAGCTTCTATATGAAACCTGTCTTTGTGTTTGGCTCTTATCATATTATGAGCCAGCAATTGAATTCTTGGCCACTTCTAGAACCCTTCCGAGACTCATTGATGTTGTCAAGAGTTCCACAAAAGAGAAGGTGAAACCATCCTCTGGACACTGGTCATTCTAATAAAGTTACTCTGTCTTGTTCCGTGTATTTTAGTTTGCTATAACCGACTTGTATTCATTCTCCCTTGTACATTCATGGCATTGTTTCATCCTGCCTTTATTTTTCTATCTTCAAGTAGAGCCACTTAGACTATGTTGGCTTGTTTGCCATGTTCAACTTCTAACATCAATGTTTATTAACTTGTTTGTGTTATTTCTACTAGGTTGTCCGAGTTGTTATTTTGACCTTGAGGAACTTACTCCACAAGGGAACATTTGGAGCTCAAATGGTTGGTCTCGGACTACCACAAATTGTTCAAAGTTTGAAATCACAAGCATGGAGTGATGAGGTAGGAAAAGTCCGAAGTTTTTTCCTTACTGAGTTTCTTTTATTTTCATCATAATAGCCAATGCACCAACCTCCCTGATGGACATCAAAGAAACAGTTCTTGATTTGTTTGTTTGTTCGTTTTTTTAGTAACAACTGATCAATATCGCTAAAGTGACATTACTTTCTGTCTTAAGATTATCTCCATAAGATTGATGGTTGGTTGAAACTTACTCAGCATCGCATGTTTTGTCCAAATCTTTGATGGCTGAATTATAACCTAGAGCTCTATCTCTATCGAGGATTTCTTTCTTCTGCCCCCATTTCCTCTTTTCTCTATCAGATCTAGGTGCTCTTTCTTCTTTCCCACGTACATACTTCTGATGTACCTTCTCTTCCGAGTGTGAAATGAATGACATTGCTCATCATTCCTAATATCTCTCGGTTTCCTATTTTCACGACTGATTTCTATTTTTATTCGAACTTCCATTACCATGCATACATTTCTTCACCAAGTAAGCAAATCTTTTAGCTTTTTTCTCTCTCCCCCCATCTCTCTTTTCTACAGTGTACTTAAAAATATGATTACAATCATGTAATAGGACCTTTTGGAGGCTCTGAGTCAACTGGAAGAGGGGCTGAAAGATAATATCAAGAAACTAAGTTCTTTTGACAAGTACAAGCAAGAAGTCCTTCTCGGGCATCTTGACTGGTCTCCTATGCACAAAGATGTAAATTTCTGGCGTGAAAATATTACAAGCTTCGAAGAGAACGACTTGAAGGTTTTTCCCTCCTCTTGTTACAGTATTTTTTTCTACCGTTTCTGAATCTTCACGAAGTCATTATCATACTCAGATGGGCTGCATTAAATGTGATTATTATGTTGGTCCTACTTATATAAAGAAACCACTTTATCCTTTATAGATCTGTATGATATATGAAGAATTTGTTGGTTGGACTGAAAGTGAAAGTAATAGGCGAATTATTTGATACAGATATTGAGGGTCCTAATCACCATTCTGGACAGTTCCAGTGATCCAAGGGCTCTGGCAGTTGCTTGTTTTGATCTTTCCCAGTTCATTCAACACCATCCAGCTGGGAGAGTTATAGTGACAGACCTCAAGGCCAAGGAAAGAGTGATGAAACTGATGAATCATGAGAATGCTGAGGTTACCAAATATGCCCTCCTCTGCATCCAGAGGCTCTTCCTAGGTGCCAAGTATGCCAGCTTTCTGCAGGCTTAAGTCGAGTTTCTCTCCACTTATGTGTAAGTTACATACTAAACCCATCCTACTTAAACACCCCAGTTGCTGGAGCTGAAGAGGTGATTCATTTTATTAAGTTATTATCTTCTTAAATTTTTTTGGGGTTGGTGTGAATCAACGAGAGAGATTTTATTCATTTCTTGCATTCCCAGAACATTCTTGGGCATATTGAATAAAGTCACCAGGGTGTCTTACCTTGTGTTTTACGCTTTGTTGTGTATTGATTTAAAATTGAAGAGATCTCTCTGAGATATTGAGTTTAAAGCAAGTGAAAAGTTCGTTTCTTTGTTCGTAATCTGCAATTTTAGTTTCATATGTCAATGATCTTCAATTTTTTCCTACCGTTTTCTGAATGTGTCAAGTAACATCTAGTAGAATATCACAAAATCCCATTAGAATAGAGGAAGAAAGCAGAGAAAATCCCATTAGAAAAGAGGAAAGCAGGGGAAGGAAGATAGAAAATTGAGTGATTGAATTGAAACATCTGTTCTGTTGTCGTCAAGGTTTGATTTCGCTTCAGATTTTACAGAAAGAAGGAGTTTCCATGAAAACAGAAACCTTCTTCAACCTCAGTATCACGGGAAGAAACCCTTTTTCATAATACAAAACAAATCTAAACGCCGAGGAACATCAACAACCAAACAAAAACAAACACATCTTACATGTCCACAGGCACGCGTTTGTACAGCCCCGAAGGCAGCCTGGGAGTGGCCACAGCCTGCACTGGCGTCTTCATGTACGACACCAATCCAGGGCTCTCTGACATGTCGATCTCCTCCGCCTTCATCCCCGGCGACGGTGTCCATTCGAAGTGGTGCAGAAGGTGCCCCAACATTGATGTCACCAAATTGATTCCCAATTGAGCCCCTGGGCATACCCTCCGCCCTGCCCCAAATGGCAGCAGCCGGAGATCGTGCCCTTTCATGTCCACATCCTCTTCTAAGAACCTCTCTGGCCGGAATTCCTCTGCGTTCTTCCACACCGCCGGGTCACGTGCCACTGCCCACACATTCACGTGCACGTTCGAGCCTTTGGGGATGTCGTAGCCGCCGATCTTCACATTGGCGTTTGATCGATGTGGCAGCATCAATGGCGTTGGTGGATGTAATCTCATCGCCTCCTTTACGACGCATTGGAGATACGGAAGGTTCGAGAAGTCGTTCTCTGTCATAATCCGATCTACTCCAACCGCATTGTCTAGTTCCTCCTGAACCTTCTTCTGCACTCTAGGGTTCCTTACGATCTCCGCCATCGCCCATTCCACCGAAATCGCCGTCGTGTCCATGCCGGCAGTGATCATATCCTGCATCACATCCACATCCACATCAACAAGAGATCCAAATCCTCGAAGACTGTTCTTCAATTCATTTCACAGAGTTGAATAGAGATCGAAATCATTGAAAACTGTTCTTCACCGAGAGAGAGAGGGGAAATCGCATAACGTACCCAAAGGAGGCCGATGATAGTGTCTTCACTGAGATCATACTTATCTTGGAGAGTAAGTAGAGCATCAACGAAGTGGTTCTTGACATTGCCGCTCTGGTTGCGAGCTTTGGTGTGCTCTTCCATGATGGCGCGAGTGAGGCGGTCGCGACGGGCACCATGCTTGGCGAAGGCTTCTTCTTCGAGAGGGAACATCCAGCGAAGCCAAGGGATGTGCTCAGCCATGGCCAGGGAGGCGCCGAGCTTGAGGCCATTGGCGACAATGGCCTTGAATTCGAGGCCCTGCTCGTCCATAACGCCATCGGAGTTGACGAACCTCTTCCCGAATGCGAGTCTGGTGATGTTGTTGAATGAAACCGCTCCCAGAAACTCCCTCACCTTCACACTCTTGCCTGACTTCTCTGTGATGCAAAACCCAAATTCAAATTTTCATTTTAATTATTATAATTTTTAATGTTTTTCAATTTTTTTTTTTATTAATTTAGCCAATTTCAACCCCTAAAATTAATAAATCAAAATCAAAATGATTAAATATTAAGAAATAATAAATTAATTAAAAATTCCAACTGGAGAGTTGACTCTGGATATTTCCTTAATTTGACTTTTTCAACCAATTATTTTAATTTTAAAAATCATCATAAAATTGTTTATAAAATGTTACAATCATAAGAACGTGATATTTAAAAAAAACAATAACAACAAATTACCATATATATATTAAAATTTTAATTACTAAAGGTTAATATTCATAAAGAATAAAAGTATTTTTTAAACAAATATTTACCAAAAAAGAGTATTTATTTTCATTATTTAATGTTTTTCTAACTCAATCTAATTATAATTTTTTTTAAAATCTGGTTATTTTGGATTATTTCAATCCTTTACATACAATTTTATTTTTAATAAAAGTTAAATATCAGATGGTTAAAAATTATTTTAGACAGGTAAATAATAAAAATAATAAATTTAAAATTAAATAAAAAAATAAGTATATATAATTGAATATTTTTTAAAATTAACGAGTTGATATATTTATTTTTTGGTTATTTTCTTCCTAATAACGAGGACCGTTTTTAATTATTTGCAGAAACAAAATAGCATTAAATAATTATATAAATGAGGTGGGGGGCCATTACTTTGCCGCCACGTAAGCAAAAATGGGTAAGAAATTGAAGGTACCAGGACTGGTGCAGAGCTTGAAGATGTCTTCAACCATGGCGGAAACTTCATCTTCTCTAATCGGCCTCAGAGATTCAAGTCGCTTAGGGGAGAACAGTTCAATGGTACACACTTTCCTCACCTTCACATAGTGGGGCCCATAGTCCGCCCAAATCAGGTCCTTTCCGTCGCGGCTGAATTTCGCCGCCGACCGAGTCCGGTGCCGGTCCGCCAGGCTCTGGTCGTGCTCCTTCAGCACCGCCCTCGCTAGCTCCGTGTTCGACACCACCACGTTCAGCGTCGACCCGAACCACACCGATATGATTGGACCGTACTGCTTCGCCCAGTCCGCGTAGCATCGGAACCGAACCGGCTTCACGTCGTACAGGTTTCCGACCACCGGAAGCGGGCGTGGCCCCGGTGGAAGCTTGAAGCGGAGGCGGTTGTAGAGGTTGTAGGCGAGGAGGAGGAGGAGGAGAGAGAGAGGGATGAGAGAGAGGACCATTTTGGAATTATAATTTTTTTTTTAATTTTTGTTTTTGAATTATGAAGAATTTTGGGAGTGTGGGAGAGGTTGATATATGAGGGAAGGGAGTTGGTGGAGTAAAGACTTTTAATTATTATTTTCTATTTTCCTAATTTTATTTTTCCTTTTTAGTCCTTAAATAACGTAAAAAAAAAATACATATTAATGAGTTGCACTATATTCGAGTTGATTTAAATTTTTATTTTTATTTATTGAAATAATAATATTAATCTCAATAATATCTTAACAATTATATATATTATATGGTAATAAAATGCAATTGAATTTTGGGTTTAGTTAAATAATGTATTTTATTATATAAGTGGAGAAATATTAATTAAAATTTAAACAAATTACAATATATATTTAAAAGTATAGGGTTAAAAAAGGGAAAAAATTGAGAGGAGATTGTGGAGCGTGTATTGCACGAGGTGGTTGGGGAGGGTGGGGGTGGTTTTAGGGAGTCCATTAGGTGAGGTAGGTAAGGGGTAGAAATGGAAATAAGAAAAAAGAAGGGAGAGTGCGTTTGTTGGGTGCAAGGAGAAGCCGGTGGAGGTTGGTGAGATGTGTGGTTGTTGATGAAGAGCTCTTATTCTCTGCTTCCCGTATCATTTGTTGTCTCTTCTTCCACCACTCATATTTCGACACATCATTTTCCATTTTCATTAAATTCTTACTATATATATATATTTAATATTTTTGCCCATTTTAAGTATATATGATTAATTTAATTTCGAATTTCTCTATTAAATTTTCTATGGAATAATTTAATCCGTCTTTTTAAGTAAAAACGTCGTACTATTTCTATCGACTCCTCTCACTCCTCATCCTTCACACATGTTTCAAAATTTCGAGAGTAACGATATAAATACTGAAACATTTATAAAATACACTTGTGAAATGTTCGAGACAGATCATTCAAAATGATCAAAATCACTTCTATCATCCCGAAAATTATTCCAAAACATGTTCTTAATCCTTCAAAATCAAGTTTGATTATCTGAAAAAACACGTTTAAAGGATAAATTCAATTATTCAATCAATATTAAATGGTTAGAATGAGTTCGAAACAGATCGTTAAGCTAAAAAAACACCACGTATTGGAAGGGTAGGTGGATGGGTTGAATGATGTGATAATGGATAATGTGGTTGGAGAAACATCATAGACTGTGGGCGCCCGTTTAACCTTAATCATATCTTAATATCAAATATTAATTAAAAATTTAATACTAGGCTCGTGGCTCGATATTTTGATCTTTTGCAACACATAACATATATGTAACAACCTATATCCAAGATTCGAGATTTGGGTTCGACACTAAATGACCTTGACATTAGCCTTGAAAATAAACCTTAAAATAACCTATAGTTTATCAAAGAACTTGTCTTCGATATGTTTATGACATGATTAAGACACCTTATTTCGTATCACAAAATTGCTTAAACGGGTTGGTTTATGACGGGCAATTCTTCACCTTCGACCGCTTCAGTAGCGTCTTCAACGTCCTTGCATTTACCCCACAAAACAGAGTACAGCCCTACGCCAATCAGCACTGCACCAATTATCCTGCAAAATCAATACAAAATAAGAGCGTTGTGTTCTAAAGGACTCGGCTCGGTTACCCTCCAAAACAGAATTGATGAGTAGTTACCCTCCAACATAAACCCTTTCACCCAAGATGAGAGAGCCCATGAAGCCCACAATCACTATCACTAGAGGCCCAAAAGCTGTAACAAAAACTGGCCCTTTTCTTTTCATCACCAAACCTTGAAGATAATATGCCAATCCCGAGCTCACAATCCCCTGCGGGTTTCATCGTGAGTTTATAAGTAAAGAACACTACTTTTATAGGTACGGAATTTTTTTGGGCTAGAAGAACTAATGGTCAAAGCATGGACACTATCATACCATTGTAGAGATTCGTGATTTATAACAATACTTCGTACAGATATTTAGTTCTAAATTATAGTTTACTATATATATATATATCATATTTGATATTTTATTATAAGACAAATATCTAGATATTTGCATTTTTAGTGATAGGTAAGTTTTACGCACCATTTAGGTGGGTTTACGTGGGTTGGATTAAGTTAACATTCTCAGTTTTTCTTACCCCATAAGCGGCGGCCAAGAGGTTCATATCCCAGCCGATGGACCAGGAGTGGCGGGGGTGGTCCATGGCGAGGGTGACGACAATGGCTTGAAGGGTTCCTAAAAAGCAAACCATGGTGGTGAGAGAAAGATGGGCTGTGTATTTTCTCAAGGTTATGGCTTGGAGAATGAAGAAGGCGGCCCAAGCTAGAGTGGCGATGATGAGCAAGATGGAGCCTTTGATGAACTTTCCGTCGTTGTGGGGGTTGGACGCCGCCGCGGCATCCGCCGTGGGTGGTGTGTTTGGGTGGCGGACATGCCCGGTCCAGAAAAAGTTGATGACACTTCCTTTATAAAATGTCATCAACATGGCTCCCACCACCGTCACTATTGTTCCTAACACCTTGGCTTGGCATCTCACGTTCTTCAAATCCAACTTTTCCATTCTGATGGGTTGACCGAATTAATCGAAAAAGAAATGACATTTCGAATATAATACTTTCATTTATTCATATTCTTCCTACTTTTGATTATTTATTCGATCGGAGAACACGTTAACCAAAGCTTAACATACCTGCAAAGAACTGCCATGATGAACGTCATTGAAGGAAGCATGTTGCCTATGGCACACGAGAAAGTTGGAGATGTCATTTTCAGCCCTAAATAGTATAAGTTTTGATCGATAACTGGCCTGTTGAGATCGAGAGAAAATTTTTAGCTACTTAAAAGGAGTTAATTAGGGTTCCCAGCAGCAAGTTTGATACTAACCCGAGAAGAGCTAAAACAAATAACTGAACGAAAATCTTAAATGTAATCTTAGGTCTTACTTTCCTGAAAATGAAATTAGTAACGAGATATCAAGAAAACTCAACCAAACGTGAAATGGGTTAATGTTGAAAATAAAAATAATCGTATGATTATAGAAATATGAAGGGATTTGTTTATCGTAAGACACGATAACTAAAGAGTATATGAAAGTTACGAACTTTCCTCTCTTTTCTAGGTCTTACGTTCCTGAAAATGAAATTAGTAACGAGATATCAAGAAAACTCAACAAAACGTGAAATGGGTTAACGTTGAAAATAAAAATAATCGTATGATTATAAAAATATGAAGGGATTTGTTTATCGTAAGACACGATAACTGAAGAGCATACGAAAGCTACGAACTTTCCTCTCTTTTCTAGGGTAGTGACTCTTCTACGTACCTCTCGAAGAAAAGAGCAAAGGGTGCCATGACAGCGGTGGCAAAGGCGTGGCGGTAGACGACGAGGACGTAGTGGCTCATACCACGGTCGAGGGAGATGGTGGAGATAATATTCATTCCGGCGTAGCCAAATGTGAGGGAGATGACAACGATGTAAGGCATTGCATTTTGAAAGAAGCAGCCAAAGGATTGTGAGTATCCCATGCTTATTATGGTTAAAGGGAAGAGAGGAATCAACAGCTTAGAACCGCTTATGACTGTGTTTATAAGTTATTATGAATTGGGCCATTCATAATCAGATGGCCCATTGATACATCCTAAGGTACGGGCCATACGCACAGGTATCCATCGTTTACAGTTAGAACTACTAGAGTATCTAATTCCATTCGCTCCACGTTGTTCAGTTAGCAAATTTTTGTTAGTTAGTTTTCTCGTTATTAGTTGAGTTTGTTAGTTTTTTGTTATTAGTTTTCATGTATTTTGTCTGTAAAAGGCATTGGACGGTGTTAAGAATAGATAATCATTTTTGGTACATTTACTAAGTCTCTAAAATTTACAACTAACAGTCCTAACCCAACAAAGTGCTCGAATAACGCTTACATCCTCTATATAATCATAATTGCTGATACTTAGTTAGCCGATCCCTATTCCCCAAACATCATCATCACTTCTTTTCTGGAAAAAGAAGTTCACGACACATAGGTCTTCTACCTCCAAGTAACTTTCATCCGTTACAAAAAATTTATCGGTACTACCTCCTGTAAGAGTTTGAAACTAAAACACAGCCGAGAAAAAAATAATAATAAAAAGGGAGTTTTAAATGCCAAGATTTTAAATTTAAAGGTAAATTTATTTATTTTTCAATAATTTAATTGTTCTTAATTATGATTAATTAATTAACTTTATTTATATTTATTGAAGTTAGATTAATTTCTATTAATAAACTTAAAACTGAAATTTATTTTTACATAAATATTTAATCAATTTAAAGCATATCTCAACTGCTATAAAAATTTAGATATTATCGAGAGAACTAATTCACTAATGGAGGTCTCAATTTCAATTGCGACTATTTTGTTCATCACTATTTTCTCTCTTTTCTTTTACCTTCGAAAATCACGAAGCCATGAAGGTTTTAAACTCTACCCTGTTGTCGGAGTCCTGCCGCTGTTCTTATTGAACCGGCACCGTTTTCTGGACTGGACGACGGAGGTCCTCCGCAACAGTCGGAACAACACGGCGGTATTCCGCCGGCCAGGGGGTATCTCCGGCGTCATGACGGCAAACCCAGATGTGGTGGAGCATATACTGAAGACCCAGTTTGAGAACTACTCGAAAGGGGAACGCTTGGTTTCGGTTTTGGAGGATTTTTTGGGGTCTGGAATTTTCAACTCCGACGGCGAAATTTGGAGGTTTCAACGGAAAATGGCGAGTTATGAATTCAGCACCAAATCGCTGAGAAATTTCGTCACGGAAAATGTTGTAATTGAGATTCAAATGAAGCTGATTCCTCTGTTGGAAAAGGCTTCTGAAACAGAGCAGATTTTGGATTTTCAAGACGTTTTTGAACGATTTGCGTTTGATAATGTCTGTAAATTATCGTTCAATTTCGACCCTGGTTGTCTCGGCGGCGATGGAACTTCCGGCACCGACTTCATGCTCGCTTTTGAGACCGCCTCCACTCTAATTTCCGGCAGGTTCTGTTTTTTTTTTTTTATTTTTTTTGGCTCTCCGATCTGCATTTTAATCAAAAACCATACCCATTTCGTGCTACTAAACACGAAGATATAATCCGCTTTGAGTATAAGCTCTCGGACTTTGTTTCGGCTTTCGTACGAGGCCTTATACCAATGGATATGTATTCCTTATTTATAAACTTATGATCATTTACTAGATTAGCCAATGTGAGAGTCCCAGCAATCCTCTCCATGCTCTTATACCAAAGTGACTCAAATGTCTAACAAAGAATGTCTAACAAAGAGTGTACTTTGTTCGAGGGCTCTAACGAAGGAGTCGAGCCTTGATTGTTGGGAGGGAGTCCCACATTAGCTACTTTAGGAATGATCGTGAATTTATAAATAAGAACTATATGTACGTTGTTACAAGGCTTTTTGGGGAAACCTAAAACAAAGTGACCAGAGCTTATACTCAAAGCGGAAAATATCATACCATTATGGAGAGTCGTTATTCGTAACATTTCGTTCTTAATTTGAACAGATTTAGGTATGCAATTCCCAAATGGTACAACATCAAGAAATTTTTCAATTTGGGATCAGAGAGAACCTTGAAGAAATCCATATCCATAGTTCATAAATTTGTAGACAACATCATACGCTCAAGAATGGAAGAGAAAACGACCGAAAACAAGGACGACAAAGATTTATTATCTCGGTTCATGGCCGACAAACAGAATTCCCCAAAATTCCTCCGAGACATAGCCATAAGCTTCATCCTCGCCGGTCGAGACACCACTTCTTCAGCTCTAACATGGTTCTTTTGGATCATATCCACCCGACCAGACATCAAACAAAAGATCCTCGCAGAACTCAAAACCATCAGGTCTAAAACTAGTAACCAAATCAGAGAAACCTTCCACATCAACGAACTCCGGGACATGCATTATCTCCAAGCAACATTATCGGAGACACTCCGGTTATACCCACCGGTGCCGGTGGACTCAAAAGCTTGTCGAGGCGACGATGTCCTACCGGACGGGACGGTTGTCGGGAAGAATTGGTTTGTGATGTACCATGCATATGCAATGGGGAGAATGGAGAGCATTTGGGGGAAGAATTGTGAGGAGTTTTGGCCGGAAAGGTGGCTGGAGAATGGGGTTTGTAGGGGTGAGAGCCCTTTTAGGTTCCCTATATTCCATGCAGGGCCGAGGACGTGCGTGGGGAAAGACATGGCTTATGTTCAGATGAAGGCCATAGTTGCAGCTGTGATGGAGAGGTTTGAGGTCATAATCATGAAGAAGGAGACACCAAACCATTTGCAGTCATTGACTTTGAGGATGGAGAATGGGTTGCAAGTTATGGTAAAAAAGAGGTCAATATAACGATGCCGAGACGTTGTGTCTAAAAACTTTTCAAAATCTCGTTTTATACGTTTAATAATGTGAAACTGTTGACTCGAGCCAATAATAATGCTCCAACCGTACCTCTATATGTTCAAACTCGAATTTTGACTTTTGAAGTGAGGTTGGAGGTCTTGTTTGACTTTTTAACCCTATTTTTGTCTCTCATGTTGACATTCTTACTTCCGTCCTACTTATTGCCCAGATTGGCTTCAATATACATCTCTGTAGTTTGTGGTTGTTAGATGATGCACGGTCTTCTTTGGGGTCGCATTGTGACATTTGTCTATCTTGACTCTCATGTGGACGAATGGGTGTCACTTGTGGGGCTGCCGCTTTATTTGTCTCAATGTGAGGGTCGGGAGCTTCTCTCTTTATAGTATGGTTGTGGCACTCTACAAGCTCTGTAGAGACCGATTGTACATAAATTCTAAATGCCCCATTGATACGAAAATCTCCACGATCCCGTCAAGCCAAAATTGTGGCACCAACAAAAACACGCTGAATGGAGTCGTAGTTGTTGGATTGTCAAACAAACGATACTTTGCAGTGACATTTTTTCGTTTGATTTTGACAATAGAGAAGATGAGAGTGTTGATGGCGAATCATACGTGAAAAATTTATGGTTGGATTGAGTTGAATTTGATTCATTATTTAATAATGAATTTTTGAGTTAAAAAAATTTACAACGATTCGATTGAATCTAAAGAATATTCTAATATGATTCAATCGAACCCACGAACACCGAATAAGCTTTAAAGCCTCTTTGTCTTGCTGCTCTTTGAGATATCCAAATGATATTTTGTTCATCAACCCTTATCTTCAAATGAGTGCTCTCATAATTGATTTAAATAAAGTGTTAAATAATAAAATACTTTGTCAATTGGTTCTATTATTTATAAATTTTCTTTTTAAAAGAATTATTTATTTATTTATTATTTCATTACTAACTTTTAGGAGAAAGTGGGAGGAGCTGATATTTATGTGAATTATTTATTTGAGGAAGGTGTAAAGTTTTATTTTTTCTAATAATTATTAAATAAATTAAAAAACTTAAAATTTAATGCATATTATTCTGAAAATAAATAAAATTTCAGTAGTTAAAATTATTTTTATAATTGAACTTTATAAAAATAAAATTATTATAAAAATTTAATTAATTATCGAGATGATAATTAAAAAGCAGCATTTCGACGTTGTACCGAAAAAAACCTTAAACACGTGGGGAAAAGAGTAAGAGATGGAGATCGTATGCATAGAACCAGCAACAAACAACTCGAGATACTCATACATTTGGAACTGATACCATTCAGATTAGATTTGGTATTAACCCGAGTGTCAATGTGGGTAGCAAATTCAACTGAACTCAAAACCAAAACATTCCCACCCACCCCATGCTTTCTTTCTTCTTTCGTTCTCCTTTAAGTGATCTCACCAAGCACTCCATAACTCACTTTTCTCGTCTCTATCTTCTTTTTTTTCCACTGATAAATATCTTTAGCCTTTTTCTAAAGTCTCTCATGCAAAACTGATATGATTTTCAATCTACAAGTATAGTCATAAAAAGATGCAATGAGACAGACGGGCCACAGCAGGATTATTACAGGAAAGTCTGCCCCCTCCCGCTAACATAGAAAGAGATTCCCACGACGACAAATTCTCTATATGAATCTCTTCCCTACTAGGCCAAATTGAGTCGCTATTTGAGGTAAGAATGACTTAACCCATACGCATCATTGATGAAAGCATTCCAAACCGGTCACTTCATAGAAGTGACTTGTCAACCACGCTTCATACATTATATGCACCCAATCAACATTCATAACTCATTCTTACGTGTAAATTAGAATGGGTTTGATTCGATTAAAGAACTGATTGTAAATTAAGGTGTGAGGTCATGTTTTGATCGGTTGAGTAATGTCTACGGTATAGGTCGTTCCAACGACGAACCTTCCAACTCTGATTCCACTCCGATTCAAACAACAAAAGAAAACAAAACCAATGAAGTAGGTTATAAATATTTGGTGTAGGTAGCCATTTTGTTTTGGGGAACACACTCATATGTTCCTTTCCTTTTCTTCTTCTCCATACCACTCTTTCCCTTTTATACATAACAAAACAAGCATGGGATACTTGCAATCCCTTGGCTGTCTCCTTCAAAATGCAAAGCCTTACATCGTTGTCATCTCCCTCCAATTTGGCTATGGCGGAATGAATATCATCTCTGCCATCTCCCTCAACCACGGTATGAGCCACTACGTTCTCGTTGTCTACCGCCACGCCTTTGCCACAGTCGTCATGGCACCTTTTGCTCTTGTTTTTGAGAGGTATATATCTTTGAGTTCGTACTTATCATATTCTTTAACGAGTAACTCATTTCTAGTTTCATATTTTTCAGAAAAATGAGACCCAAGATTACGCTTAAGATTTTCGCTCAGCTATTTGTTCTGGCTCTTCTTGGGTTAGTATTAAAGCAGGTTGGTCCAAACAAACTAACACGTTCCTTTGAATTATCTAAAAACCTTTTCTTTTTGTGTCCTTTTTTGTATCTTCCATGGTATCGATCTCAACAGGCCACTGATTGATCAGAACTTCTACTACTTGGGGATAAAAATGACATCCCCAACTTTCGCATGTGCTATAAGCAACACGCTTCCTTCAATGACATTCATCATGGCGCTTCTTTGTAGGTATGTTAAGTTTTCGTTAATGTCCTTTCAAATCGAATGAACAGAAAGTACGAAAAATATGAACAAAATGAATAAATATACAACAATAACATAATAACATGGAATTATTGTATTCAAAGTTTAGTTATTTTTTAACTAAAACGGTCATTATCAGAATGGAGAAGTTGGAGTTGAAGAGTGTGAGATGCCAAGCCAAGGTGTTTGGAACAATAGTGACGATGGTGGGAGCCATGTTGATGACATTTTATAAAGGAAGTGTCATCAACTTCTTCTGGACTGGGCATGGCCGCCACCCAAACACACCACCCACGGCGGATGCAGCGGCGGCGTCCAACCTTCACAACGACGGAAAGGTCATCAAAGGCTCCATCTTCCTCATCATCGCCACTCTGGCTTGGGCGGCCTTCTTCATTCTGCAAGTCATAACCATGAGAAAATACACAGCCCATCTTTCTCTCACCACCATGGTTTGCTTTTTAGGAACCCTTCAAGCCATTGTTGTCACCTTCGCCATGGAGCACCGCCCTCACGCCTGGGCCATTGGCTGGGACATGAACCTCCTGGCCGCCGCTTATGCGGTAAGAAAGAAAATAATTGTAACAGTTCAAGCCCTCCATCAGTAGATATTGTCATTTTTATATTTTTCCTTTCGGACTTCCCCTCAAAGTTTTTAAAACGCATCTGCTAAGAAAAGATTTTCATACCCTTATAAACAATGTTTCGCTCCCCTCTCCAACCGATGTGGGATCTCACAATCCACCCCCTTCGGGGCTCAGTGTCCTCATTGGCACACTGCCTGGTGTCCATCCCTCTTCGGGATTCAGCGTTCTCGATGGCACACCGTCCGATGTCTGGCTCTAATACCAACGGTAACAACCATAGATTTCTACTAACTTAAAGTCGCTACTATAACAGTCCATTTGTAACCGTTCAAGCACACATCACTAGCCGATATTGTCCTTTTTGGGCGTTTTCTTTCAAGCTTCCCTTCAAAGTTTATAAAAAGCATCTATTAGGGAGAGGTTTCCACACCTTATAAACATGTTTCGCTCCCCTCTCCAACCGACATGGGCTCTCACAATAATTGTCCCAGATATTTCCGTCTTTGGATTCTAAAAAACATTCTTCTAATTCTGATTCATAATATTGAATGTTTATGCAGGGGATTGTTTGCTCAGGGTTGGCATATTATCTTCAAGGTTTGGTCATGAAAACAAAAGGGCCAGTTTTTGTTACAGCTTTTTGCCCTCTGGGGACGGTGATTGTTGCCTTCATGGGCTCTCTCATCATGGCTGAGAAGATTTATGTTGGAGGGTAACTCATCAATTCTCTTTTGGAGGGTAACCAATCTAGCAGAGTCCTTTAGAACACAACACTCTTATTTTGTACTGATTTTTCAGGATAATTGGAGCAGTGCTGATTGCGGTAGGGCTGTACTGTGTCTTATGGGGTAAATGCAAGGGTGTTGAAGACACTGCTGAAGCAGTGAAAGGTGAAGAATTGCCTGTAAAAAACGAAGCCATTGAAGCAACTCAAAAGAAAGAAGGTTTGGCCCTTAGTATTCCACCCAGCATGGAGAAGAAGCTTCAACACACTAATCACCCAAACTAAGAATAAAAAAGAGAGAATCCTGAAGAACAATAACAGAGAAATGGCCAAGAAGACAATTGACCTTATAATTTACAAATCAATTTGAATATAGCTCGATAATTAAAAATAGCAATTACTATTTCAAAAGCCGATGGAAGATTCCACTAAGCTGGTTGTCTTTTGAGTGGCAGATTCCTAATTGTCACTAAACAGCATAATAATCTCTTTTGTTCTTTAATGTTAATAATATAACCAACTCCAACTCTGTGTTTTTTAGGATTAAGATCACTTAGGTCACCACCACCTCCCATCATTCTTCCTGTGGCCCGTTTTTCGTATCAATAATTTGAGGCTTGTTTTATTTTAATTATTGTGTTTTTAAGTGTTCAATTTTAATCCATACACTTTCAGTAAATTTTAGATTTTTGCCCTTCTGCCCTGAAGTTAAATTGTGTCATTTATCAAAGCTATGGTAAATAATCTAAGGGTTCTGATAGCTTTAATTGTTAATAAGGGTAAAGATCAAGTCGATTAGAAAGAGAGCGAATCGATTAGCAAAACGAATGAAAGGAATAAGGAAGTGTGGTGTTATTATTGTTTGGGTCGGATAGAGTCTACCTGCTAACTGACCCAACTCGAACCAATTTGGTTTTGCAAATAATAAATACGAGTAAAAATATAATTTCTCTATTCATTTAAATAGCTTTTGTGTTGTGCGGATAGAAAATGTGTTGTTTTCATTGTTCAAGTAAATACGGTTGTGTGAGACTTGGAAGAGAAAGTTAACCCCCTATAAATTGATCTATAGTCAATAGATTGTAATCAAGGATACCTATCCTATCATTCTCATAAGTAGTTCAAGATAAGTAGGTGGTGTGGCTAAGTTGCACAAGGACTATTGTCTCAAATTTATATTTTGAATCTTAATGCGTCTCTTGGGCTTGAGGTGTCACTGATACCAAAACTCACTAAATAATACGTGATTTAGGGCTGAACCACGACAAAAGTTGGTATGCATGTGACGTCTAAATAGGTAAGAAATACATAAATGAACCGATCACATTTATATAAGAGTGGATCATTAGACTATGCAAACATGGTGAAGATAAGATCAAAAATAATTGATTGCCACTGACAAAGTGCAATTTTCTTTTTGGTGGTCCAACCGAAAGAACTCTAAAACCAAAAACTAAACAGGGTCGGCTTGAAGCAAGAGCATGTGAGTTAAAAGAAAAAGCAGGTTGAAAGGACTATTGGTTTGTAGGATAGTGCGAGTTACGGCTGAGTTACAGCCATGTAGCCCTCATTCTAACTGTGCTCTCAGAATAACATAAACATGCAAGGAAAGCACGAGTACAAAACCAGAAGGTTTGATTAACTGAACATACCTTTGCATTCAAACTTCACAGCTCCTTCTTTGCCAAACTGAGGAATAAGAACGAAACCAGTAGTAATATCATTATAGCCACAAACTACAGATTGGGGGCATCTAACTCATTAAAAATGACATCTATATCCAAAAAAAGTGATAAGAAACGGAGCAAGTGAAATAAAGAATGTACAAAGGCCTGTAAAAGGAAACAAAAAATCTGCAAAAAGAGTCATGACTTACATGAACGAACTAAAAATCCAATTCATGGACACCCATAAAGAGACATCAAACAGCAATACCTCCCACACCTCCTCCAAAAAAAATTTCAAGCCCCTCTAGAGAATTTATGCTTACAAGATGATAATGATGAGGAAAAAGTCTATGCTAAACAAAAGCAACCTGATAAGCATCCTTTGAGAGAATTAATTGGCCTCAATAATGAAAATAGGCCGTAAGAATAACGACAACAAAGCACACATCTATGCATCAAAGTTTGAATCGAGCTGCTAAAGGTTTGAAATGCAGAGGCACAATTACTCTATGTCGAGTATTCAAATCCATAGTAAATGTTGAAAACATCATGGTAAAGATAACATTAGGGAAAATTATAAATGATAGAGATTTGCAAAGGAAATGAGACCATGAAAGGAAGATCAGCGAAGCAGATGAATCATTGTGATAATATAATACCTGTACCATCACTAGCTTGCAAAGATGAACCACCAAACTCATTTATAAATACAACCTTTTAAGATGGAGAATGATAATAAGATAAGAGGATTTCAGAAACACATGTCAAAGCCAAAACATATTTGCTTAAAGCTTGTTTGATAGGCAAACTAAAAGGGATAACCAATACTTAGCAGTGATTCACATATCCTTGCATGACAAATTTTCTTCCTGCCTAAAGAATTGAGTACATAAACATCTAAGTATGGTACCAGATGAGTTTATGCAGCAAAAGGATCATGTGAAGGGCCAACATCATGACCTATATGGCGCTGAACAAGCCGCTGAAGATCATCCATCACCTTCCGCTCGCGTTTTGCTTTTTCTTCGTAGTTATACATTGCAAGGGCTCTTTTATCTTCAGCACTGTAAACTTGGTTTTCTTTTCTAATACGGATTGCATTCATTCTCTGATGCCTGCTACCGCTCATCACATAGCCAAGAGTCTCAAAGTTCTGGATTTCCTCAGCTGAAAGACCCACTTCACCACGCCGTGGAATACGCTTCCCTTGTTGAACATACTGTGCAATGGCGTCACCTTCTCCGGGCCTAAGAGCACCACCATAGCTAATATGTCCCTCAGCTCTAGGCAGTGGCATTGGTCCAACTGGCATCTCATTATCAAATGCAGGTTTCTTTTGTGCCTCCAAAATTTCCTTAATCTTCAAAGCTTCAGCGTTAATCTCAGCCATTTTATCTCCGTCGATCTTTAATTTACTCTTACCATCAACATCTTCAGAACCAGAATTCTCCTCGGAAGAGGAACCCTTACTCTCCGTTTCTGACTGTCTGTTTTTCTTGCTCCTGGATTTTGTTGAAGTTGATGAGCTCTTTCGCTTCCTCAATTTTTCACCTTCACTGTTCTCACTCTCATCTGAATCACTGTACCTCCTCTTCCTACCATTCTTGGACCTCTTTCTACGACTCCTTTTTCTTGACTTGACATGGTCACTGGCATCAGAATCATCTGTCTTGCTTTCTTCGCTGTCCTCTGTGTCACTGTACCTACTCTTCTTCTTCTTACTACTCCTGATACTCTTATGTTTTCTGTTCCTCCTATTCGTCGATTTCTTTCTTCTCTTACGACTTTCTTCCTCTGATTCACTTTCACTCTCACTCTCGGTATCACTGCCCGACTCAGAGTCGCTAAGAGACGATTTTCTACTTCTACGCCTGGAACCAGAACTCTTCAATTTCCTCCTTTTCAATTTCGTATCAGATAATTCAGAATCAGAGTCAGAGTCAGAATTCTTAGCTTTATCAGATGCATATTTTTTTTCATGTTGCTTTTTCTCGCTCAAGCCACTTATATCTCCACCGTCATCGTTGCCATATTTCTCCAAAATCTCATCATCTTTATCCTCATAATCTTCGTTCCCATTCCTCGGTGGGCTAGGGGTCACTCTCCAAATACAATGCTTCAATGTCTTCCGGAGCTTCTGCCTCTTCAGCCTCCGAAAGTCCTCATAGTTCAACCCCTTCAGCTCCTCATCCGAATCGGACTCGTCAGACGCCCTCCCATTTCTATCCAGATACGCCCGGCCTCCTGCGCGCCCAAATCTCTTGGGCAGACCGTTTTGGTCTCCATCAGCCCTAGGGCTCCGCCTAATCTCCTGGTAGCCAGGCGATACAGATCGACGACGATGGCTGTAGCGATCATAACTTTCATAGCTAGGGCTACGACGTCGTCGGTAATCCCCACCGGAAGCATCGGAGTCCGGCGAGTAACGATGGCTGCCGTTTTCTCGATCGGATCGATGTCTTCTTTCTGGAATTTCCACAGTAGACCCTAGTCTACCCATTTGATAATATTCGGTATCGCAAACAAAACGGATATTGAATTCGTCAATCAGCCGCCAGTTATAGCACGATTGGAATCCAGGATTTACCTTATCTTCCTAACTACTAGCACTAGGTTATTGAAAAGGGTTCCAGATTTTGTTATTGAAAAGGGTTCCAGATTTTCAATTAGCAGACTCAAGAATAGGATCAGAGGGTTGCAATCAGAAAACCCAAAAAAAACAAATGGGAGTCAAGCTCGTACCTGTCAGAGAGGGAGAGCACCGAGAGAGAACGTGAACGTCAGGGAGAGGAAGAATGAGCGGCGCGCGAGGGGTGGGATAGATTTGGAATAAGTAATGGGCATTGAGGTTGGGCTCGACTGGGCTGAGCTAACGAATTTATATATTTTAATCAAAAACAAATATAGAAAATCAATTTGGTTTAAAATAAACGAATTTATATATTTTAATGAAAAACAAATATAAAAAATCAATTTAAATTTATATATATTTTAAACCATGTACAATGTACAGTGTATAATAAACCCTAAATTCATCTCTATCTCGTATGTATAATAAATCCTAAATTATATATATATGTGTATGGTATGATTTTATTTAATTCAGTAAATTTAATTTAAGTCTATGTATAATTTTATTTAGGTCAGTAAATTTAAGGAATTTTTATCATTTAAATATAAATATTTTTAAAAAAGAATTTTTATCATTTAAATATAAATATTTTTAAAAAAATATATTTAATCAATATTAAGATAAAAATAATCATAAATGGAGGACTTGATCGAGTTTCTGAATAGAATCTTTGATCGAGTTTCTGAATAGAATCTTTGATCGAGTTTCTGAATAGAATCTTCACGATCCTTATAAAATCGAACATTTTTTAAACAAGATCAAAGATCTTTTTTTTTTAATTTTATGTCTATTATATCCTACGTATATCTAGAATTTTAAAAAAATTAAATTTTATGTCTAAACAAATAGTGTGAATTTTGAAATAAATTTATAATTTTAAAAATCTCGAAAAATCAATCTGATTTATTTCGTAGCTCAGTCAGATTCGGACATGAGGAATGATGGGAATAAAAAAGAAAAAAAGGAACGTTCATTCATTAAATTTATAATTTAACCTACCTAGCATAAATATCAAATTTTTATATTAATTTAAATAAATATAATTAGGATAAAACTATAAATTGATCCATTTAATTCTTAATCTTTTAAAATATAAAATTTATGAATTTATTAGACATAAAATTTAAATTTTAGTGGATATAAACTTCAAATATATCTAATAAATTAATTTTTTTTTAAGAAAAAATCAAATTTGTCGAAAAATGAAAACTTGAGGAACCTATTATAAACATTCTTGAAAGTTCGGGAGCAAATAGACACCAACCTCAAAATTGAGGAACTAAACTTGTATTTTTCAAAGATCTTCTAATCCCAACTCAAATTCCCGAAACCAAGAAATGACGTCGAACCAACCTAATTTATTCTTAAAAATAGTTTAAGACAAGCTTATTTTTATGTCCAAGACTTGTGTGTCATACAATGGACTCAAGAACATGTTTCTAATGAACATAAACAATGAACAATGAAGCAAAGAAGAGTGAGTACTACTGACCAAAAATCTCTTCCCTTTTGAGTCACAATGGCAGAGGAGCTTTAAGCACGAAGAAGCCGAAGAGAAGCAAGCATGTGGGGGGCTTGCTTTATTATACCTAAAATTAAGGCACCAAATCAAATGATAATACACAACAGATGATCCAAATAAATAAGCTAGGAGGAGCCAAAACACCTGTACAGGCATATATATTATTCAACAAGAGATGTTGAGAAGGCTCAGTTAAAATCTTTAAGTCTTTTCTTCAACACGTCCATTGATTTCTTGCGGGTGTTTTGCTTGGTGTTTCTGCTAGAAAGGCTACCAAAGATGCCATCAGCGGAGTCCTTGAACTTCTCACAAATGCTAGCCACTTTCTTATAATCCAACATGTTGTAATTCCTCTCTCTGATCACCGGATTCATGAAGTTCTCCGGCTGACTGCTCTGCAAAAGGTTGATTAATTGTCGAGCTTCCATTAAACAGTTTCGGAAACTTCCTCCTCCTCCTCCGTAGATTTCGCTCAGTCCCGTGCTGTGGAATCTCTCATCTGCAAAAGCTTCCAGCATTTTCAGGTCACTGTTGATGCTCATCACTGCATTCACGTTAAACCTTTTCACACTATCACTAAGAAAAGCTGAAACTATAGAGTAGGAGATATGATCGAGAGCGCCACTCCCGACCTTGTACAAAGCTTCCATCGGTAAAATCTGTTGTGCGGTCGACATTATCGTGTCGAGATAAATAAGCACTTCATTTATATAGTCATTTGCATTTGCAGTAACCTCCTCAGAAGTCCAACCAATATTCTCTGTAAGAGCCATGAACTCATCTAACTTCGTGTTCACCAAAGTCAACAATGCAATATAAGCCGCATCCCTTGAAGTTTTAAGAACAACTTTGGCAGCGAAACCGCTTTGTGGCCTCTCGACTGATCGAATAGGCATTCCACATAACAGACCTGCATGCCTGATGAAATAGTCACAGGCTCTTTCCAAAACTGTTATATTCGCAGCAATTTGCATCGCTTGAGAAACACCAAAGGATGCACCATGGATAATATTGAGTATTGCTTCATTTAAAACATCAATTAGGATCCTATCCAAATATTTCTTCACAACCTCAAAAAGATTAGAATGTGCACTGTAGGACAAGTAATCAACACACCCTTTAATGAAGGACCTCACGATGCGGCATACATCAGGAACGGTGGAAGAAAATGGCGCTATGAACGGAAATGTAGGCATTATATCAGATGTCTGCAGATTAAAGGCGAGCACGTTGTTGTCGTAATCGCTATCTTTTTTCAGGACCATCTGCTCGTAGGTGTCATTAGCTAGAACATCCACTATTTGTTGCTGACACTCCTCCAAAAGAAGCTCGTGGTATTTGTCCCGGCTTTTGTTCAACGTCTCGAGAACCGGCCCGACTTCATATCCATATTGTCTAAGAGTAGATGCCAGAAGAGTAACGTAATCCTTCACCAGGAGAAGGTGAGTTGCAGAATCCATGAGGGAAAATTGTATCTCCAGCACTGATGTCACCTTGACAACAGCAGTTTCCAGCATTGCTTCAACCTGTTCAGCTGATAGTAGCCCTTCAGCAGTCCTCATCACACGATCCTCCACTATGAAATATCCTGCAATTTGAGCTAAATAGGTCTGATAGGACTCGATAAACGGCTGAGACGAAGAAATCTGCAAGTCGGAATTAAGCTGCAACATTCGGTTCCTGTAGTAATATTCACGAAACTGCTCTTTGATCCCAAGACATGTATGAATGTGATACGCTCGATAAAGAGGTATAAGGTCAAACTTTAGAATGGAGTCCTCATCGAAATCTCCGACATCCAAAGTATATGAAAAATCTCCTATCCCTGAAATGTTCTGTTCCTCAGCCTTCCTCTGACGGTCTAACATTTCCTCGTCTCTTTGTCGAACAGTTGCAGCATGGCCGATAGCCGTTTGCCCGATAACCTTAGCAGAACTCCTTACATGAACAAGCCATTCATTGAATTGAGTGGACACTTTCTTTTCAATATGAGATTTGATCACAGGAATTCTTGTTTCAATGACCATTCTTAGTGTCTTGACAGAAATGTTCTTCAAATAATTCTTTTCAATCAGATCGACATTTTTCAATGCAGGGTAGAACTGGCCTTTAGAAATATGATCATTGCACTTGACACAAAGATCAAGCACCTGAACACAATTCTGGGACATTTTGATGGCTTCAGTCACATTCTTTTTTATTGAATAACATTCCAGAAGCTCTTCGAGTCGAATCAAAAGCACACTCCCAACCTCTTGCAATTTAAAATTATCGGTCGATAGTTCAGCCTTCAGCTCTTCAGCATCGACCAGAACCCCACGAAGTTCATCAACTGCACGGATAAATTCCTCGTAGTGAGTCTTGCACAACTCCTCGATTTCAACTTCTTTCTTTTTTACAACATTCTTCAACTGATGAAGGAGAGTTTCTGGTCGACCCATTTCAAATGCATGTCGAACAATTGGACCGAGATCCTCGCCATTGCCAATTAATGTTGCAAGTACTAGGTCTTCGGCTGTTTCCCCATTCTCTGCAGCAGCTCTCCTCTTTGGTTTTCCCTCCATTATTAAGATCAAACTCTACAAAAATGTCAAATGCATATTAATACAACATCCTACATAGTATATAAATATCAAGATTGACATATGCTACTAAAAAAATCTACAAATGGTGCAGCTTTCATGTTCGATCAGTATTGATTTACGAAATCAACACCATCATACTTAGCACTCTAGCTATTCCAATTCAATTCACAACAAAATATGTAGAGAACACGTACATACAAAACCATCTATGTAAAATGAAACATTACGAACTTCTTCACTCACACCTCATTCTCAGTTTAACACAAAACCCAAACTTGTTGTAAGAGGGGTATCTCTACTAACTTTACCACATGAACCTATCCTACACTAAAACAAGGTAAGAATGAACTCAAAGAAAATATCATAGCCTGTGACGTAGTGAGTCTTGGTCATTTACCCTAGACCTCGCTGATACTCTATAATCTATTGGGTAGTTCAACCCCTCAAGACATCAAAACGACGCACGCCGACCACCATTTATACTCAAGGCTCTGATACAACACTTTTCATTCCATTGGCCCTTGACCATTTACACTCAACACCTGGTGCACATCATCTTTACATTAGCGTATCAGACATCAACCATTTATACTTGAGGTTCCAAGACCACAAGTGACATATCAGCCTTTGATCATACTAACTGTTTTGTTTTTTCAAAAATAATCTGATTTTTTCCTATTTTTAAACACTATTTAGTCTCCTAAAAACTTGGGCAGGATAAGAAAGGGAGAGAATTGATTTTACAGCTTGAAGCAAAATTTAATTGAAGAATTTAAAACTCCAAGAATGTAACAGCCCAAGCCCACCGCTAACAGATATTGTCCTCTTTAGGCTTTCCCTTTAAAAGGCGTCTAGAGAGAGGTTTTCACACCCTTATAAAGAATGTTTCGTTCTCATCTCCAACCGATGCGGGATCTCACAATTCACCCCCCTTCGGGTCCCAGCATTTTTGCTGGCACTCGTTCCCTTCTCCTATCAATGTGGGACTCCCCAATCCACTCTCCCTTCGAGGCCCAGCGTCATTGCTGGCACACTGCCTTGTGTCCACCTCCCTTCAAGGCTCAACCTCCTGCCAATATGCTCACGTCTAATGTTGTGTTGAACTTAACAATAAAAAAAAAAAGGTTCAATCTATCTGGTTTATTGAGCCAAACCAAAATTATAGTTCTCTCCGATTCTAACAATTTTGAAGGAAAATTTCAAGGCGGCAATTAAAGAAATGAGCTAAACTGGAGCTGTGGAGCGTTACAGTCCACATTATAATGAAGTAAGTAGAGGGAAGAAAACATACTATAGCAAGGAAGGGTTGTAGAACATGATCCCTCAATTATGGAATATGAATTCAGTGCCCCATAACCGACTTTGATGAACACTGGGAAAATTGAGAAACCAAAAACAATCAGAGACGTGCACTTGAATTTAGAAATATATTGAACGATGTGTGATTTTCAGGGAAGAGAGAGAATTAAGAAAAGGCTATGGAAACTTGTGGAGAATAAAACGAAGTTAGAAGCCATTATTTTATATAAGCATCTTCACAAAAGTACAAAAAGACTTGGGTGAACATTCTTAGAATATGAGAGCGACTTGAAAAACAGACGATATCATCAATGTAAACCGAAAATCGAACATGAACATACGTTTAATTTTAATAATCTCCAGAAGTTTTACTCTTACAACCTAAAATCATTTGTTTGAATCACAGAACAATCAAAATCCATATCGAAAATTGTACAGAATACCTAAATGCGCACATTTCAAAGGAAATTTTGCATGAAACATGAAAGCATTTACTCTCTCCAGTTCAGGAAACTCATATCGGGAATCGCCAATCGACATACCTTCAGGGGAGGATCTGATCAAACATGGGGAGACAGAGACTGCGAAATGGAGAGATTAGCATCTAATGTGAAGGTTCTCCTCTACGATTGAACGAGACCGTACCGAAATTTCGTTCCATTATTTGTTCTTCAAAATGCGCAATGATCCAAGCGAGAAAATCCCCGGAATTCTCTTCCTCTTCGTCGCTCCGATCGATTAAAGCGGATTGTACCGGACTCCACTCCGATTCGTTGCCAGATTTCTTACCGGAGGTCCGAGAGATTAAAGAGAAACTGTTTCAGAATCTGAAATTCGAGTCTAGAGACGCTAGAACAATGGAGAAATAGTTGAAGAGTCATGGAGAATGAAGAGGACCTGATCTCAGAGATAATAACCAAAAAAAAATATTTAAATTTTTGAAAAATCAATTAAATAATAAATAATTCTCATAATTTTGTTGAAGGTTTTTTAAAATTAAGACAAAATTGAAATAAAATTCATCATTTTTTAAAATTAAAAAATAAAAATTAAATTAAATTATTCTATTCTTATTTATCACGTGCTATAAAAATTTAGACTAAAATTTTAATTTACTTTATACTTTTTATTTATTTTCAAACCTTTAATTAAATTTTATAATTTAATTTCAATATATATATTTAAAAATATTTTTTTTAGAGGGATTGGAGAATGAATAATTATAAAAATAAATAAAATTTTAAAAAATTAATAATTCAACTTAAATCTCATTAAGTCGATCAAATTCTTTAAATGACATACCAATATTAAAATTATTTTAAAAAAACGCCATTGGTACGTGTAGTACACGCGCCATAAAAATCCTAGTACTAGGAGCCGTCGTCGTAGCCAGAACAACCCCTGAGAGAAGGCCCACGACATTCAAATGATTGGTTGTCTCAACACACTTCCCCACTCTCGATCCTCTTCTGACAAAATTCGTGTACTCCACGCGCTGCCAATCCATTTTCCTTAAAATCAGATCTTCTGATTTTTTTAAATTTTTTTCCTTTTTTTCCCCAACACCCTCAGATCTCGGAAAATAAAACCCAAAAATAAATAAATAAATAAAGGAGCTTACAAGATCCGCCTCGAACCCCTCTCCCAAATTCCTCGCCTTTCTTCTTCTTCTTCTTCCTCCTGCTCTGTTCTGTTCTGTTCTGGTTCTGGGTTTGATCCTATTTTTTGAAGCTTTTTACTTGTTGATTTGCAGAATTGGAGCTAACCCAGTAGAAATATTGGTGAAAACTGAAGTGGGTTTGCTTTAGATTTCAGAAACAATGAGGGAAGAGGATTCAAATTGGTTCTCAAAATGGGAAGAGGAGCTTCCTTCTCCTGAGGAATTGATGCCTCTTTCCCAAACCCTTATCACCCCTGATCTTGCTGTGGCATTTGACATCTCGAGCTCAAATGCTGCCATTGATAACAACAGCCATCCGCCGCCGCCGCCTCCTCCGGTTGTTGCTCAGCCGAGTTCTGCTGATTTTGGGGACTGTGGGGACCTGGGGTCCGGCGAGCCTGCGAGAACCCTGAAGCGGCCGCGCCTGGTCTGGACTCCACAGCTCCACAAGCGATTTGTTGATGCTGTCGCCCATTTGGGGATAAAAAATGCTGTCCCGAAAACCATAATGCAGTTGATGAGCGTCGATGGGTTAACTCGTGAAAACGTAGCTAGCCATTTGCAGAAATACCGTCTTTATTTGAAGCGTATGCAGGGGATTTCCAGCGGCAGCGGTGGCGGTGGTGGTGCTAATGGCGCCGCCGCTTCAGATCTCGCTACTGATCATTTGTTCGCGAGCTCCCCTGTTCCGCCTCATTTTCTTCACTCTTCTCGGACTAATTCCGACCATTTCTTGCCGTTTGTACCCGTTGGAGCTCTGCAGCAGCACCACCACATGGCTGCCGCCGCCGCCGCCGCTCAGTACCACCGGCAAGTGGCTCAGTTTGGGTCGCCGCCAAATGGGCAATTTGAGCGTCCGTTTCTGGCTCGGCCTATTCACCGGCTTGGGGCTCCGGTGAGTAACCCGGCGACGAATCACAGCGAAGATTTGGATTCGGGTAATGCAACAGAAGGGAGGAAGGTTCTTACTCTTTTCCCCACCGGAAACGATTAAAATTTCTTCCAAACAGAAATCCGGCTAGAGACCTCTGTTTCACCGGCGGTAATGGCGTTTTTCCGATCTCCAAATCCCAGTATTCCAAAACAGTTCGCCGCCGGCAGCCGGATAAAGGTAAAATCAATTCTATTTCCAAACGAGTAAAATTGTACAAGACTCTGAAAACCGCCATTGAAATCCTCAAAACAGAGCTCGAGGATTTCCAGCTCTGTTCATCATCATCTTCATCAAATCCTCTGTTTTTTTCTTAATCGATGCAAAATTAGTGAATCAGATCCAAATAAAGTTCATTTTTTACTCTTTTTATTTGAAGATTCGATCGAGTTCAATCTTTTTTCAAGGCAATAATCTTGAAATCAAAGCACCAGATTCCTTGATTCCTCCTTTCTGATCTACAGTTGTTATACCGACAAGCAAGCTTTAAAACATTGAATCTTCTTAGTCTTTCCGAAAAAGAAAATAAAAAGGAAAAGAAAAACAGAGCATTAAATTACAAATTATCCATAATTATATGTTAATTAAAGAAGGATTAGCAGTGCATGTGAAGTTTAGAATCTTTTATTATGTTAGATTTGACTTAAGCATGTGTGAAACATATGTTAGCTGTAATGAAGCACTACCAAACACATCCATTTCTTTAATGATGTTTTAAGGAACCTTATTAACTTAGATTATTGGGAAATGCAACCACATGGGATTCCTCTAATTTGGATAACTCTTTTTTAATCATTACGGTTTAAATCTTGTCTTGTTCGGTGTTTTTTTTTTAGTTATATTGTATTATCAAAAGTTTCATTTTTTATCTAACTATATATACCTACGTACATACATACATAGATAAAGTCAAATACTTACATGGATGGAGAGATTCCACGTTGGTTGGAGAGGAGAACGAAACATTCTTTAAACGAGTGTGGAAACCTCTACCTAACAGACACGTTTTAAAATCGTAAGGCTAACAACGACATATAATGAGTTATATTATCAGAGCCAAACATCGATAATGTTGGTTTCCAGTGTGGAAACCTCTCCCTAATAGACGCATTTTAAAATTGTTAGGCTGAGAGTAATATGTAACAGGCTAAAACGGACAATATTTGCTAACTATGGCCTTTACACACTATAGTCCATTTTTCTTGGACTAGGCGGAAATAATACTATTTCCAACAAAGACTAAATGCAAAAGAAAGTGATGTTTAGGGCAAATCTAAAATGTGAAACAAACACACAAAAGTTGTATTGAAAAAAGTGGAAGAAATAAGCAATATATTTTGTGGTTCGCGTGCAATCAAGTACAACACTATGACAAATATCTCGTTCTTTTTGGTCTATTATTGGATAGGATCGAACAACAATTATTCAATTATTTGTGACTGTCTTTGCACTTGCTCATCGACCAAAAACGTTGTTTTGTTCGTTTCAAAAAGATTCCTAATTTTGTCAGCTGTCTAAAAAAATTCAGTAAAGAACCAAACTAGTTTAGATATGTATCATTGACGATATACACCCAAACCAGTTGTCTACCTAACCAGTAATCTAAAATCATAATCTGTAACGAATTTGATCAGAGTAATCTATCGAAAATAACATTATTATCGAACGTCTTTCCCCCACCTGTTCACTTCATCCATCTTTTAGTCCATGAAAAAGGATAAAAGAAACCCAAAAGGAAAGGAAAAGGAACTCATAAAATGAGCTACAAAAGGCGACCTACAACTTTGTTCGTTTGCAAAGTTCAAGCTTTTGAAACAACGTGCTAAGATTCTCGACGCATACCAACGTCCAACGAGGTGGAAGCCAAGCCGTATCTGACCTTATCTACAAGATTGTTCGAGTCTGTTTATACTTTAATCTTAGTCACTCTTCACGTCGCTATGAGACCGATGAACGTGTGAAAATACCAAGAAAATCAATGTTGAATGGGAGAAATGTTATTAAGGAGTGTTGTATAGCAGCTAATGGCATAATGGAGTATGAGAGAAAGTGTTATAAGAAGTTATGCAAAAACTAGAACTGAGATTCCAAGCAGTCAATCAAACAAGAGTACACAACAAAATCTAATTGTAAAGTGTTTTTCACCTAAGCTCCTCATCATCATCATCACATCTCTAATGGTGGTTTTGAGAGTAGTCAAAGCTGAGGGGTTGCTGGCAGAATGGGGCCTGCAATATAACATACCACCAGATGCTACCATTAGAGTTCAAAACATTCACAATTATTCATCATTTACAAGTTCTGGCCGAGACTAAACCGAACGTTCATCGAGATCAATGCCAGTTAGTAAACATTGAACCTAATACGAGACCACACCTAACTCGAGAGTCTCTCGAACCCTCTAAAAACTCTAATGTTTCTTTCTTCCCAAAGCCCCCAAGAGCATAACCTAGCGTGCCACGAAAACCTTTCATCCTCGTGCAACGGAACTCCTCAATCATATCTCTCCGTCCTATCTCATCTTATCAGTGAAATATCGATTGCTTTCTAAAAACGTCTTTCAACATTATCAACCGAACTATTCAACTCTAGTTTTATGATCTCATGTAACAGCCCAAGCCCCACCACTAGTAGAAATTGTCCTCATTGGGCTTTCCCTTTCGGGTTTTCCCTCAAGGATCTTAAAACGCGTCTACTAGGGAGAGGTTTCCACACCCATATAAAACCCATATAAAGAATGCTTCTTTCTCCTCCCCAACCGATGTGAGCCAAAGCTTCTTATCTTTTATCATAAGATCTCACATTGATTGGGGAGTAAAACAAAGCATTCTTTATAAGGGTGTGGAAACCTCTCCCTAAAATACGCATTTTAAAAACCTTGAGGGGAAACTCGAAAGGTGAAGCAAAAGGGAAAGCCCAAAGAGGACAATATTTGCTAGTTAGGCTGTTACATCTCATATCAATCGTGAATAAACAAACGAAAAACAATGCCGAGCATCCACAATGCAAAAGGATTGACAAACTTTTTTCTTGGTTTTCGACAAACAATACTTGCAACCTTTAGCGAACGGAAAAGGTACGTTAATTAAAAGTACCTGAAAAGCAGAATGCCTGAGCTGGTTGTAGGAATGGGCATACATCATTGCAGCACTCTGCCACTGCTCATAAGAAGCGTCTCTAGACGTTCGGTTCATACCCATTGCGGAGAAAGGGCTTACGACAGGACTCGGATGAGGCCCATAGCTAAGTGAAGGTTGAGTTCCTGGTATATGACCCATGAGGGAGTAACCCATATCACATTGTACAAATGGAGGCTGCATTTTTTGCATAGTAAAGGGAGCCAAGCTTAAATTTTGATTGGTTGGAAGGTTCCTAATATACCTGTTTCAACAAAGAGTCATTGGCATAACATAGACGTAGGCTTAATAGACAGACATTCAGTGTATAAAGATACCAAAAAACAAGGCCAAATACACGAACATACCTATCATAGTTGCGATCATAATCGGGGTCACTACGATCCTTTTCCCTATCTTTGAAAATGGCAACCCGAGAAGTCATGCCGTCCCTGCCATTAAATTTTTCCAAATCACCAGCCAAAGTTCTAAAGCCTTCAGTTTCATCCCTGTTCGAGCATGCATATTTTCCTTCAGATGGGGATTGAGATGTTGTATCGTCTAACTCGGGACTACTTGGAGAGCTGAAGATTCGAGCTCGTGCCCTATCGTATTCCTCCTTTCTCTCTTCCACGCTTCGGACAGAATTTTGTTTGAGACCTCCATCATTGGCAGAAGTTTCAGACATTTTGTTAGGCCGAGGTCTGATGACGAATTTGACCTGCTCATTTTTCTCATTGTCGAATTGCTTCGCAGGTATTTCAGATAACCGCACAGAAGGGAGTCTGTTTTCCACCGTTTTACGAACCAAGATCCTATTTCCAAAACCATCAATGCCGGAGTCCTGAACCATGGTTTGAAGGCCATAATGTTGAGCAACACGATGAGCAGCAAGTCGAAGGTATGATGTAGGAAAATGCTGGAACTCGAAGAGCTGCTGATCCGGATTATGCAAGAACTTCTGGATGTCAAGTTCCATCCGTAAAACTGAAAAGAAACCGTAAATTAACATGTAAATCATTCACATTATTAAAAGAAACCAATGTTCAAATGAAGAAATCCCAATGTCTTGTTCCCCTCTCCAACCGACGAGGGATCTGACAATCCCCCCCCCCGGGGCTTGGCACATTGCTCCGTGTCCATCCCCCTTCGGGGCTCACCGTCCTCGCTAGCACACCGCCTGATATCTGGCTCTGATACCATTTATAATGGCCCAAGCACACCGCTAACAGATATCGTCCTCTTTGGGCTTTCCCTTTCGAACTTCCCTACAAGGTTTTTAAAACACATCTACTAGGGAGAGGTTTCCACACCCCTGTAAAGGGTGTTCCGTTCTCCTCCCCAACCGACGTGGGGATCTCACAAAAAAAATCCCTACTAACTACCAAATATATCATTAAATGCCGATTTGCTGTCTCATATTGGTATAGATTGTTTAAATCTTTCAAACTCAGTTGGGTTTTGCCTACGACTTGCACCGAAGCCTTTTACAGCTCATTTCTGGTTAGGCGAAAAAACGCTAGAATTCTGCGGTCGTGCTCCATGGTGATGGTTTTATGGAAACATCGAGACAGAAGGACCAAGTCAGGCTGCTTTCTTCTATTTGGTGTGTTCATCATAGTGAACACAAATTATAGCCAATTGAGAATTTTCTGTAATCCCCTTGGTGGGTTGGGTAAATTTCATCTGATTTCTTGTAAATCCATAATCTCTACAATGAAATCATTCTATTTCTTAAGAAATATGAACCCATAATCATAAGATTCTTGGCCAAATCCAGATTTCATCCACAAACAAAAAGACAGGAACCTCAAAGAGAAAAACAGATCTAACCCAACTACAAGCTTATAGCAAATCCAAATCCAAATCCAAATCAACCAATACAAACTCGCAAATCGAAATCAATTGATCCCAAGAACAGATTCAAGATTAGGTCAACTGGGCAATTCAACCCCTTAAAAAAAAAACGAAAGAAATAACAAAAGAACTCACTGGTAAGACGATGACGAGGATTCTGGAGAGCCTCAACCAAGAAGGGATCAACCATTGACTCCTTGTCCTTGAACCCTTGTGGGGTTGGTTCGAAGGAAGCCGATTCCATGGAAAAGAGCTCTGTTTATGATTCAACGCACAAGACTCTGAAACTGTTCGATTCCTTCAAAGGGTTTCTTCTTCCCCTTCTGTGTCAGAGGAGGAGAAGAAGAATAGGAAGAGGTAAGGTGCAGAAACAGGGAAAGGGTTTAATTCTTAGCATCTGGAGGAGGAGAAGGAAAAAGAGAGAGAACCCTCTTTCTTATCCCACCAGGCGGAGGGGAAAGGGGTAAAAGGAAAGACAGAGTTGGAATTTGGCAATGAATTTATATCACAAAAAAAAGAAAAAAAGAAAATTTTGTAAATTATTTGTTCGCCAATAAATTCCTTTCTTCTTGGGGCAATCCGTGTGGAAAGACGAGAGCTCATAATACTCATATTCTTTCTAAATTTTTTGACCTTTCGTTATTGATATTAAATAGTTGAGTTACGAGCCATAATCGATAAATATAGACATGATTTTAGTGATCGGTCATATACTCTATATTAACATAACAAGAATAATAAAAAGAATTTAGAACAAGCATACGACATGGATAACACGTCGTGAACAAGCATAGCCACAGACAACATGTCTTCGACAAGCATGACCCTGACATAATATCCCTATTCTTTTTCAATTGGTTTATGAATTGAGGGTTCAAATTTTTTTACCCATCTTCATTATAGATATTAAACAGTCGAGTTACGAGTCAAAATCGACAATTAATCACATTTTAGTATAGACGTGATTTTAGTGACCAGTTGTATACCCCGACATAACAAAAATAGTAAAAAGGGTTTGGAATTGGCATACGATATCGACCCGTCCTAGACAAGTATGACTGGAACATTTGACACATAGCCACAGACAACATGTCTTTGACAAGCATGACCGTGACATAGAACTCATATTCTTTCTCAATTTGTTTCTAAATTGAGGGTTCAATTTTTTTTTTACCAATTTTCATTGTAGATATTAAACAGTTGAGTTACGAGTTCGACAATTAATCACATCTGGGTATAGACATGATTTTAGTGACCAGTCGTAGCAAAAATAATAAAAGAATTTATAACGGGACATGGATAACATGTATTTGACAAACATGACTGAAAGATTTGACACATAGTCACAGACAACATGTCTTGGACAAGCATGACCGTGACATAATATCCATATTCTTTCTCAATTTGTTTCTAAATCGAGGGTTCAATTTTTTTTTTTACCAATCTTCATTATAGATATTAAATAGTTGAGTTACGAGTCAGAATCGACAATTAATCACATCTGAGTATAGACATGATTTTAGTGACCGGTCGTATACCCCCATATCAACATAACAAGAATAGTAAAAGGAGTTTAGAACAGGCATACGGACAACACGTCCTACACAAGCATGACTAGGACATTTGACACATAGCCACAGACAACACGTTTTAGACAACCATAATCATGACATAATACCCATACTCATCATTTTTATTCAAGATGTATGAATTTTGCACCTTAGAACGTTTCGAGTATAAGATTAATTTTTAAATTTTTATAATTTTGCATAATAATCTTTAAAAAGAAAGTTGGACATTTTTTCTATACTAGGAGAGTGTCGAGTACATTTTTAATTTATATACAATTATTAGTATGTGATAATCATCGATCAAAAATATTTTAATATATTTTGATTTTGCAACATTTTAATTTTAATCCGAGCATAGTTCATCTAACTTAACACACGTAATCTTAATAAAAAAAAATCAAAATTTTGTTCACATAAATAAATATAAACTTTTTCTATAAATTTAACGACAAAAGCGTACGAGAGCGGATTTGAAATAAACTTTAAAATAAAATATTTTAAAATTTAAAACTAAAATCGAAGACGACAACATAGTTTAAAGACATTTTTGATAATTTAATCGGACTCTTAAATATGACAAAGTTTCAAGCAAGCGGGTAAAATGTGGTACCAAACATGTTACTCAACACTATTATCTAACTCGTGACGGGTTATTAATGATTCTCGTTAGTGGAGTGACACCAAATTTAGCTTACTTGTCTAACTCACCTGAACATTAAACCTAACTAACACCATAAATTAAATTAAAATTAAAATAACTCTTTTTTTTTTTTGTTGGAATTAATGGTGAGAATCAAATGGAAATATTATTATATTATTGTAACAATTTGAGTCCATTGCAAGTAGATATTATCTGGTTTGTTACGTATTATATGAATGACTAGTTCAACTGTGAGATTTTATAATTTAGAGAATCTATTGCTACCATAGGGTCTGATTATAAGCCTGCGTAATTTTAAAATGAGTCAAAGAATTAAGAGAGGGAGATTGACGCGCGCTTGACCAAGAACGCGGTGAGCTTGCGTTTCATTTGTTCTCCTTTCAGTCTTCCCCTTATAAATCCAACCAATCTTCCTCACCATCACCAGAACCCTAACCATGGCTGACCCAATTGTAGTTGTTCCCCCCTCCGATCAAAACCCTAATTCCACCGCTTACGCTTCCGAATTTGATTCCCTCCCAATTCCGCCTTTCGACTCTTTGTTTTTCTCCGATCCCGATCACGACCCCGGTGACCCTTTTCTTTATTCCACGGCCTTGGATTTGGGATTCGACGAAAATGAAGATTTCGAGCTAACCTTTGACGATCTTGACGGTTTTTTCCTCCCCTCTGAGGCTGACGATTTCCTCATCTCCGAAGATTTGGATCAAACTACCAATTCGCTGGACTTGCCTCCTGATATCCCACTCCAGGCTGACCAGGAAGCTTCTGGGGGCGCTGCTTTTCGTGTTTCCTGCCCTGCATGCTCTCCAGGATCGGTGAGCTCTGCGGTTTCATGCAAGCAGTCCCCCGATGAAGGTGAGTTTCTAAACTATCAATCTTCTGAATTAAGAAATGCGGATAGCGAGTGTTTTTCGACTCATTCTGGTGGATGGGACTCGAAGAGTTCGAGGATTGTGAATTGTCCTTCCCCAGAGCATGGTGGCGGTGGGCGTGATCATGAATTCTCAGGCGAGCCAGCGTCGTCTCAGGGCTCGGGTTCTGGAAATTTCGATTCTGGCGTCTATGAAGGAATGAATTGCCGATCTTCTAATGCGGAGTATTATGATGTTAGTGTCGACCAGAAGATTAAATCAGAGGAAATAGGGAAATTTTGTATGACTAAGAGGAAGAAAGAACAGGATGAAGGTAACGCAGATTTTAGATCATCCAAGTATCAAAGGTCATCTGTTCCTGCGGAAACTACCAATCCCCAATTGGATTCCTGTGCTGTAAATGAGGACGAAGAGAAGAGGAAAGCGAGGTTGATTAGGAATCGAGAGAGTGCGCAGCTTTCCAGGCAGAGGAAAAAACATTATGTGGAGGAGTTGGAGGATAAAGTGAGAATCATGCATTCAACCATTGCTGGATTGAATAGTAAGATATCGTATATGTTGGCTGAGAATGCAGCTCTGAGACAGCAGCTGAGTGGTAGTGGTATGTGTCAGCCTCCTCCTCCTGGTATGTACCCACATCCCTCAATGCCTCCAATGTCTTATCCATGGGTGCCATGTGCTCCGTATGTTGTTAAACCGCAAGGGTCTCAGGTCCCTCTGGTTCCTATTCCTAGATTAAAGCCCCAACAACCTGCTTCTGCAGCTAGGAGTAAAAAGAATGAGAGTAAGAAGGCTGTGGGAAGAACTAAGAAGGTTGCCAGTGTTAGTTTTCTGGGTCTGTTGTTCTTTATTATGCTTTTTGGTGGTCTAGTTCCTGTAGTGAATGACAGGTTTGGAAATGTTGAAGGAGTTCCTGGTAAGTTGGCATTTGTTGGTGATAGTTTATACAATCAGAATCATGGGAGGGTTTTGAGAGTCGATAGGCATTTCAATTTATCCGATGGTGGGAATGTAGGAACTCCTTGTGGAAAATCTGGTACTTTGAACCGCTTACAATGTGAGGGAGTTTATAGGAAAGGGCGAGATATTAAATTCAATCAACAAGGAAAGGGGTCAGAGCATTTAAATGATTCAAACAAGTCTAATAAGCTTGGAAATGCTAGCAAACCTCTTGTTGCTTCTTTATACGTTCCAAGGAATGACAAATTAGTGAAGATTGATGGAAACTTGATAATTCATTCTTTCCTGGCTGGCGAGAAAGCTATGGCCTCTCGCAAGGCTTCTGATACGAACAAGGCTAGGGAGACTGGTCTTGCAATTCCTAGGGATCTTAGTCCAGCCCTCACAATCCCAAATATCAAGTCTACTGCGGCTGATGGTAAACTCCAACAGTGGTTTCGTGAAGGTCTTGCAGGTAATGCCCAGCACGCTAACATTTTAATTATGATTACTAGTCTTTATATACAATTTCTATGCATGGCATGATGATATTTGGAAGTTTCATTTGTTGCACAATCTGCTTGAATTTACCTCTTCTATTGGGATTTAGAATTCTAATGGTATCAACTATCAGATGGCTGTTGAAACAAGACATATTGACACTGGATATATGCGAGCATCGTGTCCTTTTTTTGGTGCCCATGTAATTTTAAAAGTAGGCAGGAAGATTGACTCATTGTTTTCCCTAGTTAGCCTTTATACTGATGATGTAAGACAAATTTGTTATAAATGTCTTGGACTTCAATTTTCTTCAACAAACCTGATTGTGACATAATGCCCGTCAAGAGATGTTTTTGAGCATTTAAACCATAGAACATAGTTTCACACGTGGATTAGGATTATTTTTCATCAGATATTGATACATGAACATGAATCGATTTTATTCAGAAGTGTTTGCACGAATATAATTTTTGTTTTATGCCCTTGAAAAAGCAACATCTACCTGTTACTTGTGGGAAAACTTGCTTTACAATGCGTCCCACTTGTGCGAAAAGGGGAAAACACGAATTGAAACTAATAAACTCTTGCATTTCCTTGGAGATGATTGTTTTGCTTCTATTTGGTTGTATAGGCTGTTCGGCCATTGGGGAAGCTGTTGCCATGACTTTCACGTTTTCGTCCTTTTCGTTTAGGATTTCCGACCCATTTTCCAGTTTCATTTTTGACAGAATCTTGTAGACCATATATTGTCCCGATTTATGTGCAAAGTAGTAGGCAGAAAATTGATTTTGGGGGTACACGTTTTTGTGTATGAGGATTCGATCTAATGATTATGTGATGTATTAAATGAGTGTCAAACTTTAATATCCTCAAGTTTTGCTTGATGGTCTAGGCCAATCGTCGTTCTATACATAACTATGATTTTTCTTCATCTGTAGGACCGATGTTGAGTTCTGGCTTGTGCACGGAAGTGTTCCAGTTTGACGTTTCGGCAACATCTCCGGGCGTAATAATTCCAGCATCTTCAATTGTCAATACTTCTCGAGCGCATGGTAGGAATGCTACTCGTCTTAACAAGGGAAAGAACAGGAGAATCCTGGGTGATCTTCGGGTTCCCTTAAGTGGATCAAATTTCAACATCACAGAAGAACCTGTTAGAAACCCACGCAAAGACAGCTTTCCAGGTAACAATAAAACATCTTCCTCCATGGTAGTTTCTGTTCTCATTGATCCAAGAGAAGCTGGTGACAGCGAAGTCGACGGCGTGATTACGCCAAAGTCAATGTCGAGAATATTTGTCTCTGTGGTACTGGACAGTGTCAAGTATGTCACATATTCATGTGTTCTCCCCCATGCGGGTCCTCATCTCGTGTCGACTTAAAACTTGTAAACCATTTTGCCAAATTATTTATATATCACACACATGTAGATACACAGGACAATTGGCGGGTTTGAAGAATAACCTTCTGATCATGACTTTGAATTTAGCTTGTAATGCTTAACTTTTAAGATTAGTTTAGTGACATTCTAAAGGAACTCGGTCATCAATAGACGTGGAGGGTGCATATCATCTTCTGGATAGAAAGCAGTAAGTGCTAGAAACTCTAATGTTTGAATATGTATTGTTTAACTATGTCCATTGTACTCCTTTTTTCTCTGTTCACTTTTCCTCGAGTTCCGTTGGCTCGGCCACCCAAATGTTGTAGAGTTAAATGGGTTCTCCCGTGATATTAATTGAGATGTGCGTAAGCAGGTTAATTTTCCCTGAGTTCTGATGGCTCGACACCCAAATGTTGTAGAGTTAGATGGGTTTTCCCGTGAGATTAATTGAGATGTTGTAGAGTTCGAGTTTCTTTGACACCCAAATGTTGTAGAGTTCAAACAACGAGCCGAGTGCACAGATTCTTTGGCACTCAAATGTCGTTTCTGGAGTTGTCTCGACATTGGAATGTTTTGGTATGTTTGACATTTGAATGTTTTGGTATGTTTTATATACCCACAGATTTGGTATATACAAAGTTTGAGTTTTTGAGTTTATCTTAATAAAAGTAGAAGAAAAGGAAGTGCCAATTAATGTCGGCAGCAACAACAAAGTCAGCTACCAAATAAGTCAACCTTTTGGATTTGGTTGTTCCATTGTAATTAATTAGCTTTGAGTGCGTCTAGGGTTTTTATCCAAATCCAACCACTTTCTAATTAGCTTTTTTTTTTTCTTTTTTTTTTCTTCTCTAAAGGTTATTATTTTTTTAAAAAAAAAATAGATAGTATTTATCCTTCAAATATGTTTTTCTTTTAAATTTTAAATATTGCATATGTCGGGTTAAAATCAATACAAAAAATAGTTATTATTTTTATCATTTTTATCGGCTGAATATCGATGTAAATGTTAGACTATCGACTCAATTAGTCTTAACTATTTTTTTTTAACATACATTAAAAAGTATGTATTTGGGGTACTCTTGTATAGTTTGGCCATTTCCCTAACGGTTCACAAAGTTGAGCTTTTCAGTTCACTCAAGCCCTTTTCTGTTTGATCGCTAACTCATAACCAAAGCCACTTTTTGATTCGGTAAGAAAATTTCAGTTATAGGATAGTCGTTTGATCAGCCTTCTCGTTCTTCAAGACTTTCAATATACTCCATCAACATTTATGTGAAAAAAGAACAAAATTTTTGTTGTTGTTTTTAGAAATTTAGATATAATTATAAATAAAATTTTCTATATTAGGTATCTATGTATATATACATTTTAAAGTTTAGGAATGTATTAGACACAATTTTTTATATTTTATCTTAATCATTTAATTTTTAATAATTTCAAATTTTCTTTCTGTATTTGATTCGAGGACACCTTATCGTCTCGCAAACAAAATTACCATTTATATAAAACTTCTAGAAATGAATAATTAATTTACTTCCATATAATGGTTAATTTACATAGTTTATAATTTAATTTTTTTTTTGGGGGGAAGGGCAATATGGGAAATAAAAATGGGTAATGAGTAATGGGTTTTTGAGGTGTGTGACAAAGGATAGGAAACCCTTATCCTTTGCAAATATTAATTGGAATCAAAGCAAATCAAATCAAATCAACTCTCCCTTTTTCCCTTTTCCCTTCTCCACTACTACAATGGATAAACTCATCACCACATTCTCTCTCTCTCTCATGCCACATCTCCCCCGATACCTATCTCTGTCAGTGTCACAGTTTTAGACCGTGTCTGCTATAGAAAGAGTCCAGTTTTACTCCGACCAGTGTCTCGCACCACCGACAACTGACTCTGATACCATTTGTAACGGGTCAAAGTAGACAATATTTGTTAGCAGTGGACTTGGACTGTTACACAATCAGTAGGTAACTAAGCACGATTAACAAATGTTTGAATCTTGTATCTCATAATAGAGTATATACAACCCCTCCAACTTTCTCCAACTTCTGTTGAACCTTAACGATCCACACCTTTCCCATGACATTCAATATCACTTTTCGTTTACCAAACGCATCTCAACCATGAAGTAGAACGAAAAAACGATTACTGGACATGTTTCTATCCCCTCAACGAACCCGTCTCGAACAAACAGGTCTAGAACAAAAAGAAGAGCATTTGAATGAATCAGTAGCTATTATTCCATAAGAACAATGAGCATTCATCATCAGAAGGAGTATACAGATCAGATTTTACACTGTTTATGGGACTGCACCTTGTTTTTGTGCCAAATTATATGAAAGAAAGGCTTCCTTGAATGTAACAAACAGTCACTGAAGTGAAGAGGATATCAAATCAAGCCTTCTATACAGTAATTATGTAAACAGGATAAAGCTCCAACTCTCCTTACAATCTCGACCGCCTTCTCCGGCACGCCAGACCGAAACCGAACCCAAGTTTCTTGATGTTTACCTTCGAGCAAGTCGGTCAAGACAGACACTGTTTGCCAGGGAGCTTTAGCTGGAACCATCTTCCTTCCACCTGATTCTTGGAACCATCAGTCTTCTACCTTTTAACATCGACGATCCTAACGCCGACCGTTCGCCCAATGCCGCTGGTATCCTCCAGATTTTATGTGTGGATTTCGATGGCCGAGTCCCTGCTTGGGAAGATCGTGTAGTTCCATAACCTGTATCGTACGCTGCTTCTTGGCTGTTGAATTAACACCATGAATCAACTGAGAAACTCGTAAACATTTAGCTTAACCGATTCGATACTACTAAACCTTAACATTCCCTATGAAAGTGGTATTAGAATCGATAAGAACACGAACAGAAAAACGAAACAAATACCGTTTTCAGCTTGTTGGTAACTCTCTTGGAGTTTCCTCTTTGTAGCTTCAAGTTTCACTTGAACCGCAACCTCGTCCGAGCTCTTGAAGTTCTGGTAAACACAAACCGAACAAATCAGGTAAAAGTTCGAACGTCGAGCCGAATTACCTAGTAGTTTCAGATCTTCTTGTTCTTACATCTTGCTGGCTCCTCTTTGGGATTGTAGGCTTATCCATTTTGCGCTGTGTGTTCTTCTGCTCTGTGCTTAGCTTCTGTGGCCTCAAAAGCCCAGAATTTGGCTTCACAACTTGTTCCTTCATTTGACTCTTATTAACCTTAGCAGGCACGTCGACCTCTCGAACGGTTTGTTGTTTACACCTCGTAGAATTTGGATCGCCATTCGATGTTTTTCTCACATTATCACGGTTCTTGACGACTTCCCCGCTGTTTCGAGGATCTGAAACGACATATATCCCGATTCGTAATCGTGAATCTAAGAAATGGGAAGCTAAAAACTGTAGAGAGGGTATTGCGTAACGAACTCACTTCCATCATCGTCCATGCCATCAAAGAACTTCAGCAGGGAACGGAACGGAACCGAAAGTAAAATACAGTCGATCAGAAACGATGTAACGTAAAGTAGATAACGTTTCTATAGAATAAGCAAGGAAATAGAATCATACTTGTGAGAGCTCCATGGATGTCGGCTGCGTCGTAAAAAATGCAGCTTCGTCTAAAGGAGGAGATGGAAGCCCTTCTTCTTCATAATCATCTTCTTCTTCTGTTGCAGCAGCAGACTTGTTTTTCGAGTCGGGTGTGACTTCTGCAGCTGTTTGTCAACAAAAATAAGAACGTTTCTCAATAACGAACTCGAAAAAGTTGACGACAGCCAAAAGATTTGTAAACGAACTGTACCTTGAACCGCAGCGGTGGCTTTTACCCACACGTCCACCATTTGTTTCCACTCCCTGCAACCCATAAGGTAGATCTTTTACTCTCAAACAAAGTAAGGTAATAACAGATATCGAAGACATGACAGATATGAGTGCAAACGTTATCGAAGACAAGACATGACATGACAGATAGTGCGAGATCCCACATCGGTTGGTGAGGAGAACAAAACATCCTTTCTAAGGGTATGAAAGTCTCTCCCTAGTCGGCACGTTTTAAAAACCTTGAGGGTAAGCCCGAAAGGGAAAGCTTAAAGAGAACAATATCTACTCGCAGTGGACTTAGGCTGTCACAAATGGTATCCGAGCCAGACACTGGGCGATGTGCCAGTGAGGTGGCTAAGCCCTAGAGAGTGGACACAAGACGGTGTGTCAATAAGTACGTTGGGTCCTAAAGGGAGTGGATTGAGGGTCCCACGTCCATTAGAGAATGGAATGAGTGTCAGCGAGGCCGCTGGGCCTTGAAGGCAGGTGGATTGTGAGATCTCACATCGGTTAGGGAGGAGAACGAAACATCCTTTCTAAGGGTGTGGAAACCTCTCCCTAGCAGACAATATCTACTAGCGGTGGATTTGGGCTGTTACAGATAGAGAACCCTCTCAGTAAACGAGCTCGAAAAGCTCTTGAACTACTCAACAAACAAAACAATGGAACATGAACGGTCGAAAGTGATCGTTCTTTGTCGATTCTATGCAACAAGTCGTATATAAAACTCAACAGATCAGCTCAAAATCAAATCAATAAGATCTATAGAACATAGCAGACAAATGTGGACATTCATCACATATCATCTATATATACTCGATGAACTTCGAAGGAAAGATTTAGTACAAGATAAGAACTCGAGCAAGATGGCGGATGCGCTTCGATCCGTGCTTTCGGAGGCCATTAACAGCCTTGCCAATCTCAGTTGCCTGATAAAGAGAGAAAAAAGACACTCAAAACTTGAATCCAGATTTTCCTCATAAACAAGAACAAACAGAAGAATTCAAATCACCTGCAGTGAATCAACTGATAAAGCCATCAATTCAAGTCTTCTAAGTGAATCAAACAACACTGAATCAGACTGCACAAGAACACACAAGAACACACAAACAAACAGAACAATAATCATCATCATGACAGACAAGAACAGCCCAGAAAATGAAAAAAAAAAACATTCAAAGAAATCATTACCGCTTCTTCGAAGTTATTAAGAATCTCTTTGATCCTCAAAACCTCCTCAACAATCTGAGATTCTTGTTCAATTTCATCAGTTAATGCTTCAGCTTCAGCTTCACCAAAGCTAATGAAATTCATCTCCCCTGCATCATCTCTACTGCTATAAACCTTGCTTTCTTTGCTACCACCGCCTTCAAACTCACACCCATCTCCAGCAAAATCGCTCTTGAAACCCGTTTCGCCGCCGTCGCTGTCGTCGCCGACCACCGCTAGCTCCACTCGATCGCAGCCAAAACAGCGAGTCAATCGGCAAGAGAACAACTGCTCTGCTATTCGATCTCTCCTCAACTTGAACTCTTTAGGGCAATCAGAAGCCGCCACCAAGATTGCGTAATCGATTATGCTAAAGATATCCGAATTCGCATTCCGGAAGTAATTCCTCCACGAATCCAACGACCCAGATTTGGCGGCCATGATCGGAATCTACAAAACTCGATCGAACACAAACGAAAAATCAGAATCGATGTGGGAATTCCATCGCCGTCGAAACGAAAACCTAACAAAGAATTGGGGTTAAACCCAGTTGATTCGAGGTGGGTTTGGAAGGAAATCCGTAAACGATAAACACCCAACAAGAAAACCCTTCTCAAACACTAATCAAACACCACCAGAATCCGATTCCCAGAGAAAATGGTTAGCAACAAACTGATTAACAGTCGTAGTTCATCCGTTCATAACCCAACAAAGAGTTGGTTAATGTGTGTAGAGTGAGTTGAAAAATCAAGGATCAGATCAAGAACAGGAACAGAAACAGAACAGAAACAGGGGATTGATGAACACCCAAGTGCTGTTTTGATGGATTGTTGGAAAATTCGAAGGGAGTAACAGATGAACTTGGTTGCTTTGCTTTTATCTTCTTTAATCTCGGAAAAGTTCCGGAATCTAGTGGGGAGAAAAATATGGGGAAAATGGAAAATGAAAGAGAAAAGTAAGAACAGAAATTCAATCCTTCAATCTCTTTCAATGGAACTGATTTCGATTCGGAATTGGAATTGGATTTGTGGGTTTTTTTGTTTGTTTGTTTGTTTCTCTCTCTCTCTCTACAAATTGGAGATTACAATAAAACTGGGTGCTGCAAAAAGGGCACAGATTTTGGGGTATCCAAACCAAGACTACATAAATCCCTCTCTCTCTCTCTCCTCTCTCTCTCTCTCTATATATATGTATATAATTGTATTATATATATTTTAAATAAATATAGTTAACATTTATAAAAAAAAAAATCAATATCTTGGGCAAATGCTAGGACTATGAGATTTATTAAGAAAGGTGGGATTTTTATTTTTTTTATTTATTTATTAAAAGTAATTTATAGAACTAGAAAGGTAGGAGATTTAGAGACGACCAAGTAATTAAGAGTGAATCGTGGGAATTTAAACGTGTAACGTTCTTCACGTGATTTTTTTTTTTTTTTAATTTGACGACACTTGAGGTGGGAGGTTAGATTTTATGATCTTTTGATTATTCATTTATCTAACGTAGGAGTTGACCGAGCATGTTCGGGTAATATCTTAGAGCTCTGTATACAAAATAAAAATAAAAACACACGTGATATTTATTAGGTCTTAATTTTAAAAATATTATATTAAAAATTTAAAAATCTATTATATATAAAATTAAAATTCTAAATTTTTTAAAAATTTGTAATTTAACGATAAATTAAAACGTGAAATATATTTTTTTTATGACGAGTTGAGTAAAAATTTGACTCGGACCATTTTGACAAACGTGTTGAGTTTGGGCGAGTCAGAGTATTTTTTTTAGTCAAATATTTTTTTTTATTATTTAAAAAATTAAATAAAATCGCCGAGATGCAGATGACTCGGCTCCGCGTCTCGGCTGAATGCTACACTCACATGGCTGTGAGTGACAGACAGTGATTGTCGTATCGACACGCCGCGGTCTCGTGGATAAGCTCATATTACGGATTCCACGTGGCCCCCACGCCTCCAGCCGTCACCTACTACCATACATTGGTTTCTCATTTTATATATATTCCAATTTGGGAGACAAGATTTTAAATACCACTATTATTTATTTAAATAAATATTATACGCCTTTTTTTTTTTTTCCTTTTTTATTTAATGGTAAAATTACATTTTTATTTTTTAAAATAATAATAAATAAATAAAAAGTATGACTCTGGTGGGGGCATGATGTTAGTAAAAGTAGTGCTCGAGTATCAAAATAAGCAGTTCTCAGAATAATTTCTAATCAGTACGTCTAACCCTACTCAGCTTAGGATTAGAATTAAACTTATACGTAAGTTATGACATTAGGTTGCGTTTATGTGTATAATAGGCTAAGAGAGACAAGAACCACGTTCGATGTGGTTAGTCTCGATAAGAAATTAAGTGAGACAAAACTACTAACATAAAACCGAGGCGAAAAAAAAAATGAACGAACCTTCAATGAATTTACATATATTGTATCCGGCACTTCATATGCCCGGGGTTATGATGGACCTTCAATGACTCTATACTCATTGATTTTGGCTTAAACAATTTTTAATGAGCTCGAGCTAAATTAGTCTCGCGTGTCACAATTTAATTGGACGAGACAGACATGTTTAATTTTGTGGTTGGTTTCAAATTTATAAATTAATGACGTGATAATTTATAATTAATTAAATGTAAATTTATTTTTAAAATATTAAAATTTAAAAGCAGCTTTTATTTTTGCCATATTTATCATATGCCAGATCTAGTTAATAAGAGTTGGGGGGACCATCTTCAAACCTTTTTTTCTTTTATTTTTTAATTTTAGAAAAAAATAAAATAGAGTGGATAACGAATATTTGTTTCCTTACCTAGAATCAATGCATTTTTAAGCATATAATATAATAAATTACGAATCCATTGTAATTATTTAATCATTTATTTTTTTTAAAAAAAATTATGCAATTAATTTAAATTATATTAAAATTAAAAATTGGCCCCAAAACCATAGGGGTTGAATAGCAATTAAGTATAAAGTTAGGGAGTAAAAGTGAAATTTTAAAATTCAAGCCGAAAGAGGATAGAAAGCCATGTGGAGAATTGCGACAGAGACCAACAGTGAGAGAGACAGAAGGGGTGCGATACACGTGTTAATCACGTTTTGAAATGGAGGGGACACGTGTCAGATGGACAATTCAAAAGGGAAACAACTCGGCTCGATGACGTGTACAATCTTATCTACCTATTGCTGTGTTTGTTAAAACGCTCCGTATTTGTAAACGATAGCGAATACAACGCATATTCTGAACTCTCCTACGGTTGCTCGCCACGTGGCATCTAGCTCGTGATTTTATCATATCCTTACCAACCCCTTTTGCACTTGTTGGCTACCCTTTTCGTGTCCCTCCATAAATTCAATAAATATATATATTATATTTAATATTTTTAACTTAAATATTTAATTTTTTAAATAATATTAAATTGTAAAATTAAAATAATTAATATATCATAAATGGTCGATTTTATTGATTTATTTATTTTTAAATATTTAATTAAAAGTATAACTCAATTTCAATATTTAAAAACTAGTTTACATAGTTGTTAGGAAAATAAATAATAAAAATAATTATATAATTAAATAAATATATACCTAATATAAAAAATGTTATTTTAAAATTAATAAAATTTAGGGAAATGTTAATATAGTAATTAAGATAATATACATTATTTTTACTAAATTATAAGAATTAAATTTATAATTTAATAAAAAAGATATATAGTATTAATACTATAATTGTGACTATGTTTCCACCGAACGGTGTCGTAGCTTTGCTGGCCAAGAGCATGAACTGATAGTCAGTTCGACTCTCTGTGCGCAGGTTCGAACCATAGTAGGTAGAGAGAGAAGAGAAAATGTGAAGAGAATGTGACAGAATATTATGAGGTATTATAAAATACCTTTTTTTAATTAACTAATTAAAATGGGCCCAAACATAAAATGCGCTTAATCTTTTCATTACTTTACTATATTTGGATCTTGGGCTTCTAAGGGACAAACATTGGGCCTAAAGGCCCAAACATTCCTTTTTCAGTGCCACGTGGATTATTTGTCAATTTAAACCAATTGATTCGTAATTAATAAACTTAAATTTTTGCAATATTTTATATAGTAAAAAATTAATGATTCGCGTGAGAACAATCATCGTATCGATCTTTAGAGTAGACAATTATTCGAGCAGATAATTGTCGAGAATACAAACAAAAGTATTACATTTATTAGATATATAAAAAAAAATTACGAACGTGGAACAATACTTCCATTCGTACGAGGTCTTTTCGATGAAATTAAAAGAACAATATCGTATCATTATAGAGATATATGAAGGCTCGATATCCTTATCCGATCACATAAATGAACGGTCAAGATTAGTTAATAAAGCAATTATCTATTTCCTAGACAAAACAAAAATCTTAATAACGGTTTGACAAAGTTGGAGGGGGCGTTCAAACCAGACAGCAACCAACGTGCGACACGAGGAGCCTTTGTTGTGTTTCTTATTTAATGTTCCATGTTTCTCTGTGTTTCCCAATCCTTGCTCATTTGGATCATGGTTTGTTTCCCTAAACTCAGCCATTGACCTCAAATTATGGGAGGGGATCCACAAAATTACGACGACGATGGATTCGAGACGAGATTCGACATATTGTGTTTGATTAAGAGATCACACGTTCGAATTTTCTAACTCGTTTGTTTTAAATTAATAAAAACGTTGTTTATCATTCATTCCTGATTGTTATGTTTTATCTGGATTTTTTAATGTAGTTGCAATCCAATTATTTTCGTCGACATAGGTTGGTGTTTCGTGTACTCTCAGTGCAAGATCGAAAAGAATGTATTAGATCGATTCCCCGACATTTAGAAGGAATGATGCTTTCAGAGGCAAAACGTCATGAGGAGATATCATCAGTGATCCATGGATCTCTAATCGGGAAACCGTATTCAACCTCCATGGCTAGTCTGCGCTCTTTGGACTTTTCAAACTTAGCGAACAGGAAATATCTGAATAGCTAGAGGAAGGAAAATCAACCGAGACCCCATTAAGTTGAGGCACGTAAGTTGCAATACTTCTCGTAATACCGAGGTAGTTTAGGGTTATAACCAGAGAATTATTGGACACAATTTTTGGATTATATTTAGTAATTGACAAACTAAATCCCTAATCTTCGCAATTATTTGTCTATAATTTCCTTTACAAAATCAACATATTTTAATTTTTTTTTTACTATAAAAATTAAAATAAAAGTGATGTAGGGTCCACTGCACGTGCGCCTGCTTATCCATACCTTTTTTTTATTTTTTTTTTTTACGGCCAATTTTTTCATTTAAACATAGCTTGTACGTCACCATTAGAGTCGAGATTGAAATAGAAAAATTATTATTCAACGGAATTACGACAAAATTATTTAGACCGTACGATGAGAAACTTTAAAAAAATGTAGCTTGGTTTGATAATTATTTTATTTTTAAAAATTTAGAATTCTATTAGATAATTATTTTTTGAAATTAAAATAATTGTTAATTTGAGAGAAAGGGTAGGGATACAGTGCGGGCGGGTCCAGTAGAGACGGATATGGATCAGCATCACAAATCACATCCATACCACACATTACATTCATATTATTTGTTAATGTTATTATTATTTTAAATTATTTGCATTACGTCATCATTTTGTCATGCTAACGTATGCAGCCACGTCATGGCCGGCGTTATTTTTATGTTTTTATTTTATTTAAAAATAAAGTGTTCTAGAATGTTGGAAAACCCCTAGCTGTTTCTTCTACGCTTCTCAGCCTGTGGGCTGGTCAACGCGGTCAAATATAAATAATAAATAAATATATAATATATACTTATATTTTAAGGGTTTTTTTTTTTAAATAAAGAATATAAATCTCGATTTATGATAATAAATTTATATGCGAGTTCAATCAAATTTTCCCGAGCTAACGATTGAACTCTTTTATATTACGGTTTGTGTTGTTTTTGTTTGAACGGTCTGAACTATACTAAGAGTTGAGGCGTTAGGACGGGAAGATCTTCGTAACTGAATGAAACAAGTGAGAATTTTGCTCGTAATAACTTTCTAGGTGAATTTATTTAGGTTATGAACG